AGGGCGGCGCCGCCAACAGCAACCCCGAGCCGCCCCGCGTCAAGGTGGAGCCGCCGCCCGACAAGGACGAGGAGGAGGACGAGGAGGAGAAGCGGGAGGAAGAGGAGGAGGAGGAGGAAGAAGAGGAGAAGGCCGCGGTTTTTGCCCGCCCGGCGGCTCCGGCGTGGGTGCCGGTGCCCGCTCAGCCCGGCGGCTCCGGAGAGGAGAATGTGGAGAAAGCAGCCCGGGATTGCCCCGGCGATGCCGCGGGGCAGGAGAGGAGGGAGGACGCCCTGATGCCCCCCAAGCTGCGGCTGAAGCGGCGCTGGAACGGAGATTCCCGGCAGGAAATGCCCGAGGAGCCCCGGCCCAACGGGATCTGGCACCTGCCCAAAGCCGTGGCCGCCGCCTCCGACACCTAATCCCGGCTGGAACAAACAAACAACAACAAAAACAAAACAAAACCTTGGAAAACACCCGGAGGAGAAATCCGTGTATTTATGTAGCAAGGTTGCAGAGCAGTTCGGGACAAGGGCGGGGAGGGGGGCGCGGGGTAGGGCCGGGGTTTTTGGGATTTCGGGGGTGGGAGAAGGGAGGGGGGCGGGCAGCTTCGGCCTTTGTGTTGTTTCTGTTGTTGACTTGCAGGTGAAGACGCAGCCGGAATTCCCGGAATTCCCGCTCGCTTTTCCCGGGAAAAGCCGGCTCGAGCTCCAGGACTGGCACGGAGGAATTCCAGGCTCGGGGCTTTTTGGGACACCGGGAATCTCCACATCCAGGGGGGGATTTTTTGGGATTTTTCGGTTTTCTTAACGGATGCGAGGTTTCCCCGGCCATCCAGGAGCTGGTTTGGTTCATTTTTTGGGGTTTTTGTTGTTGTTTTTTTTTTGGTTTTCGGTTTGATTTTTTTTTTTTTTTTTGGGAAAAGGAGGAGCTTGGGAATTTTGCATCGGGAATTTTGCACTGTCCACGGAGCGGGGTTGGGGCGGGGGGAAGAGGATTCAGGAAAACTCGGAAAATCGGGATGGAGGCCGCGTCGTTCCCGGCGGATTTCCGGGGAAAATTCCCCTTTTCCCGCCTTTTTTTCTCTCTCTCTCTCTCTCTCTCTCGCAGAAGCCATGAGCAAAACTCTCCAAACTTTTTCAGGGAATGGGAACGGGAATAACACAAAATTAACCGGATGCCTTTAATCCTAACGCATTAAAAATGTTGGGGTTTGGTTTTTTTTTTTCTCGTTTTCGTGTGCCCGGAGCGGGAGGTGTTTTTTTTTTTTCCCCCCGCTGCGGAATCCGTGTGGGTGGAATTTTTGGGAATGCTTGGAAGGAGCGCTGGAATGATTGTGGTGAGTCCCGGGAACGCCGGAATTCCCGGCGCCATTCCCAGATTTTTGGACCCTCCCCCTTTCTCCCCGTTTGACTCATGCCTTAAAGAAAAAAACAAAAAAAAAAACAAACAAAAAAAACCAACAAACCACGTTTGGACTTTTTCTGGGAATTTCGTTTCTGGGAGCGCTCGGATTCCGTGGATCCTTCCCGGATTTTGGGGGGCGATCCCGACTCCCGCCGTTCTCCCGAGGCTCTGGATCATCGTGCTCCCGGCAGGAGGAGCCCCCCGGAATTCCCAGGGATTCGCTCTCGGAGCACAAACGTCGGGAATCCCGGGCCGGGGGCGGAAAATTCCCTGCTGGAGGAAGAACCCCGGGAGCGGCTCCCAAAGCCCCGGCCCGGCCGGGTTCGGGAGCCTTGGAATGTGGAGCTCAAAGAACTTGGGGTGGAAAAACCCCTGGATTATCCCAAAAAAAAACCACAAAAAAAAACAAAACAAAACAAAAAAAACCCCGGAGAGGGCGCAAGGACGAACTCAGGAATTACACGAGGAGGCCTTTCCCGGAATTCCCGCCGCCGATCCCAAATCCAAGTGCCGGAACCGTCAGGAAAAACAAATGCAAAAAGGGGGGGAAAAACCCGGAATTTCCCCCCCCCCCCCTTCCGATCCTTCGGATTCGAGCCCGCGGGAAGAGAAGGAAGAAAGTTGGAATTTTTGTGGCTTTAAAAAGGAATTTTTGGGATTGGGGGTTTTTTGGGAAGGGTGGGAATGTTGGGGTTTTTGTTTTTTGTTTTTCACAGCCATTGCACTGCAAAAAAAAAAAAAAAAGAAAAAAAAAAAGAAAAAAAAAATGAAAATAAAAATCAAAAACTTGGGAGAGTTCAGGGAATTCCGGACTCAGGACGACGGATCCGGCGCCTCTCGGGAATTCCAGAATTCCCAACGGAGCCCGGGAGGAGGAAGAAAAAATAAAAGCAGGAAGAGGAAGGAAAAAAAAAAAAAAAGGAGGAAGAGGAGAAGGAAAACGTTTAAAAAAAAATGGATTTAAAGGAAAAAAACAAAAATCAACCAGATCAAAATTTTATGGAGAAAAAAATCGGAAGTTTCAAGGAAAAATTCCTAAAATTCCAGCGTGCCAAACCATTTAATAGAAAACAAACCCTCGGGAAGTTGGGAATGGTTGGAATTCTCTCCTGGATGAATTTGCCCCGGAGCATGATCCCGTTTTTTTCCAGCCGTTTTGTTTTTTGTTAATTTCGCTTCTTTTTCGTAGCAAATCCGTAGGAAAAATGTAAAAAAAATGACAAAAAAAGAAAAAAGACTTTGGATGGGACAGCCCCAAAAAGGGGGAATTTCTGGGGAGGAATTTCCCCGAAAGGAGGAAAAGGAGGAAAAATCCAACAGCATTAATGGGGTTGTCCCGGATTTTTTTATTTATTCCATAATTATTTAGAGGTTTTTTTATTATTTTAAGCTGTTTTTTTCCGTTGGTTTCTGTTCTTTTTTTCACGTATCTGCATCCTGGTGGGATTGAAAAAAAAAAACCAGGAATTTTCTCTCGGTTGAAATCATCAAAAATCCGGAAACACTTTGGATTTTCCGGGGAAAAACTTTGATTTTTTTTTTTTTAGCGCTTTTTAAACCAATATTTACGCTTTTCTTTGGGTTCGAAAAACCCCTTTTTCGAGGGATTTCGAGGGATTTGAACTCTCCCCGGTGGGAATCCGGCAGGAATCCATCGGGAAAATTGATGGAATTTGGGATGGGAAGCGTGGCTTTGTACATAGGGTGTAAAGTAGAGGGGCAAAAAAACAAAAAAAAGACAAAAAATCCGAAATTTGTGCCTTTAAAAAATTCCGATTTCTATAAAAATCAGATTTAAAAAAAGGGTTGCATATATATATTATATATATATATGATGGAGTGCTAGAGAAATTTATGGATAATATACATATTTTTTTCCAGGGGTATCCCATAGCTCCGTATTTTGTTATGGAAGTTGAAAAAAAAAAAAACGGAAAAAAGGAAAAAAAAAAAAACCTGAAAAATAAAAGTATTTTACCTCGAATTCAAAACGTTAAATAAAAACCTTTTAACAGAGAGGGCTCGCTGGTTTCTTTGGGGGTTTTGGGGTTTTTTTTTGCAGTTTGGGATGAGGGAGGAGCCGAAATTTTGGGGAGGGGCGTTCAGGGGTTCCCTGGATCCCAAAAATTCCCGAGGGTCTGGGGGTTCTGGCTGTGGGGTTTGGGGGTTTTGGGTGTCCCCAAACCTTCGGTGTCCCCATGTCCCCAAATCCTCAGTGTCCCCATGTCCCTAAATCCTCACTGTCCCCAAACCCTCAGTGTCCCCGTGGGTGTCCCCAAATCCTCGCTGTCCCCAGACCCACACTGTCCTGTGTCCCCAAACCTTCCCTGAACCCATGTCCCCAAACTCTCTCACTGTTCTGTGTCCCCAAATCCTCGCTGTCCCCAAACCCACACTGTCCCCGTGTCCCCACACCCCGAGGTCACCCCGTGTCCCCTCAAACCCACACTGTCCCCATGTCCCCACACCCCGAGGCCTCCCCGTGTCCCCTCCAACCCTCACTGTCCCCATGTCCCCCTCCCTCACTGTCCCCGTTACCTCCCACACCCCCAGGACATCATGTGCCCCTCAAATCCTCCCTGTCCCCATGGGTGTCCCCCACATCCCCGTGTCCCCCGCACCCCGAGGTCACCGTGTGTCCCCTCAAGCCCACACTGTCCCCTCTGTCTTCCACACTCCGAGGTCACTCTGTGTCCTCCACACCCCGAGGTCACTCAGCGTCTCCTTAAATCCTCAGTGTCCCCATTACCCCCCGCACCCCGAGGTCATCGTGTCCCCCTCACTGTCCCGTGTCCCCTGCACCCCGAGGTCACCGTGTTCCCCCTCACTGTCCCGTGTCCCTCACATCCCGAGGTCACTCTGTGTCCCTCACACCCCGGGGTCACCGTGTTCCCCTCACTGTCCCCTCTGTCCCCCGCACCCCGAGGTCACTGTCCCCTCAGATCCTCACTGTCCCCTGTGTCCCCTCACCTCCCCACATCCACACTGTCCCCGAGGTCACTCTGTCCCCTCACACCCGCACTGTCCCCTGTCTCCCCTCACCTCCCCACATCCACACTGTCCCTGTGTCCCCCGCAGCCCGAGGTCACTCGGTGTCCCCTCAAACCCGCACTGTCCCGAGTTCCCCACACCCCGAGGTCACCGTGTGTGCCCTGCACGCCGAGGTCACCATGTCCCCTTGGCTGTCCCGAGGTCACTCCGAGTCCCCTCACGCCCCCACATCCACACTGTCCCCATCACCCCCGCGGTCCCTCAGGGTCCCCTCAGGGTCCCCTCCGTGCCCCGCATCCCGGGGCCGCCCCGCGCCGCCGCCCGCCCGCCGCCCCCCTCGCCGCGGGCGCTGCCCCGCCGTGCCGGGCGCGGGGGGCCGGGCGAGCCCGGGGATTGGGAGCGGCCTCCAGGCCTCTCCCTCAGCCCGGCCCCCGCGGCGGGAGGGGGAGCCCCGCTCGGCCGGGCCGGCACCGAACCGCAGCTCGGGGGGGGTCGCTCGGGGCCCCGCGGGGCTCGCTCGGGGCCCCCCGAGGCCGCCGCTGCAGCCGCCGGGGCCGGGCATGGTGGCGGGGGCGGCCGGAGCGGGGCGGCGGCTCCGGGCACAGCCCTGACCGAGCTCCACCATGAGCGTGCGGCCTCCGCAGGCCCCGGACAGGTACGGGCTGAGGGGAGACCCCCGCGCCGGGCAGGGCCGAGGGGCTGCGGGGCCGAAAGGGGGGAGCGGGGACGGGGCTCGGCCCGGGGGGGAGAACCCGCCGCGAGTTCTGAGGGGGGGACGCGGCTTTGGGGGGAAACCGGGGGGATTTGGGGGCGCGGGGAGCGGGGAGGGGGCTCGGCTGCTCCGAGGGGGGACGGCGGCGGTTTGGGGTGAAATTCGGGGGTTTTGGGGCTCACAGGAGGGGGCTCGGCTCGTGCGGGAGCCCGCACCCGGTCCCTGCAGGGGTTTGGGGTGAAATGCCGGGATTTGGGGCGAAACGCCGGGATTTGGGGTGAAATACCGCGATTTGGGGTGTTTGGGGGTGAATTGCCGGGATTTGGGGTGAAATGCCGCGATTTGGGGTGTTTGGGGGTGAATTGCCGGGATTTGGGGTGAAATGCCGCGATTTGGGGTGTTTGGGGGTGAATTGCCGGGATTTGGGGTGAAATGACGCCATTTGGGGTGTTTGGGGGTGAAATTCCGGGATTTGGGGTGAAATGCCGGGATTTGGGGTGAAATGCCGGGATTTGGGGTGTTTGGGGGTGAAATGCCGGGATTTGGGGTGAAATGCCGCCATTTGGGGTGTTTGGGGGTGAAATTCGGGGATTCTGGGGCTCTGGGAGGGGGCTCTGCTCGTCCCGGAGCCCTCACCCCACGTCTCGGGGGAAAAGCGTCGATTTGGGGTGAAATTTTGGGATTTAAGGGTTTGGAGGAGGGGGCTCAGCTCGTCCTGGACCCCCCACCCCGCCCCTGCAGGGATTTGGGGTGAAATTCGGGGATTTTGGGGCTCTGGGAGGGGGCTCAGCCCGGTCTGCTCCTCCTGCCCCACGTCTCGGGGGAAAAGCGGTGATTTGGGGTGAAACTCTGGGATTTTGAGGTGAAAATCTGGGATTTTGGGGCTCTGGGGGTTCAGGGGAAGGGATTTAGATCAGGGTGGAGCTCCTGCCCCGTCCCTGCAGTGCTTTGGGGTGAAATGCTGCGATTTTGGGGTGAAATTCTGCGATTTTCGGGGTTTGGGGGATCTGGGAGGGATCTCAGGATGACCTGAGCCCTCACCCCATTCCCTGGGGGGAAAGACGGGAATTTGGGATAAAATTCTGGGATTTTGGGAATTCTGGGGGGGCTCAGCCCAGCCCAGGACCCCCCACCCCATCCTTGCAGCGTTTTGGGATAAAACTCCTGGATTTGGGGAGTGTGGGGGGGGGAATATCCCAAACCCTTCTGATTTTTGGGATATTTCCAGTATCCGTCACTGGGAATTGGCTTTTTCCCCGTTTGTTTTGCTCCATTTTAAGCCAAATTTGGGGATTTTTTTTTCTTTTTGGTGGGATAAACCCTTGGAAAAGCCTGGAAGGTTTTTCTGGGATAAATTCAGGAATTTTGCTGAGGATTCCTGGATTGGGATCCCTGCTGCAGCCACGGCGTTTCCCACATGGATTTGGGTGGAAAATGAGGAGTTTTGGGGCCCTGGGAGAGAAGCAGATCCCAGGAATTTCTGGGGATCATTTTCCCACCAAATTCCCAGTTTTGTTTTTTTTTTCCTGCTTTTTCTATCCCAAAGGATTCCAGGATTCCCTGGCCTGGTTTATTTGGGGTTCCGGGGGTAAATCCCGGATTCTATCCCAGGTTATCCCGTGGATCCCTGGGATGGTGGGAATGTCCCTGGGATTGGAACCAGGGTGGGATTTTCTGGGATTTAAGGATCTTTTCCACCCCAAAGGATTCCCAGGCCTGGTTTATTTGGGGTTTCAGGGGTAAATCCCGGATCCTATCCCAGGTTATCCCACAGATTCCTGGGATGTTGGGAATGTCCCTGGGATTGGAATCAGGGTGGGATTTTTTGGGATTTAAGGATCTTTTCCATCCCAAAGGACTCCAGGATTCCCTGGCCTGGTTTATTTGGGATTTCGGGGGTAAATCCCGGATTCTATCCCAGGTTATCCCGTGGATCCCTGGGATGGTGGGAATGTCCCTGGTGTTGGAATCAGGGTGGGATGTTTTGGGATTTAAGGATCTTTTCCACCCCAAAGGATTCCCTGGCCTGGTTTATTTGGGGTTCAGGGAGTAAATCCCGGATTCTATCCCAGGTTATCCCACAGATTCCCATCCCTGGGATGGTGGGAATGTCCCTGGGGTTGGAATCAGGGTGGGATTTTCTGGGATTTAAGGATCTTTTCCACCCCAAAGGATTCCCAGGCCTGGTTTATTTGGGATTCCGGGGTAAATCCCGGATTTTATCCCAGGTTATCCCACAGATTCCCATCCCTGGGAGGCCCAGCTCCAGCCCAGGGCTCAGGGCGAGGTTTTCCCTCCCTCTCCCCGGGAGTTTTGGGATCGCTCCCGGCCACGGAATCCCGCGGCTTCCCCCGGGCCAGGGGATTCCAGGAGCCGGAATTCCCGGCCCAACCGGCCCTGCCGCTTTCCCAGCTTTTCCAGGAGCGGCTCCCGTTAATCATTACCCCAGCGCCGGGAGCGGCTTCCTGCAGAATTCCCGAAAGATAAAACCCCACCCCAACTGCAAAAACCGGGAAAGGTTCCACGATTCCCAACGTTTGGGGTCGCTCCGGGCGGCGTCATCCCCTTGGGATCCCTTCCCAAAAAAGGGTTTGGGATTCCCAGCTGGAAAATCCCACGGGAACCCGGGATAAACCATGTTTAAAAACAGGAAAAATGGGGGAAAATTCCCAATTCCCAACATTTCTGACCGCTGGGTTCCTGCCTAAAACAGGGTTGGGATTCCCAGCTGGAAAATCCCATGGAAACCTGGGATGAACCAGGGTTTAGAGCGGGAAAAATGGGGGAAAATTCCCATTTCCCAACACTTCTGACCCCTGGGTTCCTTCCCACAATGGGATTGGAATTCCCAGCTGGAAAATCCCATGGAAACCTGAGATAAACCAGGGTTTAGAGCGGGAAAAATGGGGGAAAATTCCCATTTCCAACATTTCTGACCCCTGGGTTCCTTCCCACAATGGGATTGGAATTCCCAGCTGGAAAATCCTACGGAAACCTGGGATGAACCACGTTTAAAACCAGGAAAAATGGGGGAAAATTCCCATTTCCCAACACTTCTGACCAGAGTGGGTTCCTTCCCACAATGGGATTGGAATTCCCAGCTGGAAGATCCCATAGAAACCTGGGATGAACCACATTTAAAATGGGAAAAATGGGGGGGAAAAAAATCCCATTTCCCAACATTTCTGACCCTGGGTTCCTTCCCACAATGGGATTGGAATTCCCAGCTGGAAAATCCCATGGAAACCTGGGATGAACCAGGGTTTAGAGCAGGAAAAATGGGGCAAAAAAATCCCATTTCCCAACACTTGTGACCGCTGGGCTCGTCCCCAGAGCAGGATTGGGATTCCCAGCTGGAAAATGCCCGGGAAAGCCGGGATGAGCCGGGGTTTGAAGCGGGGAGAATGGGGGAAATTCCCGTTTTTCCTGTGCCTGTCCCTGGTGCTCGTGCAGGGAGCGCAGCGGAGCCGCAGCCCCCGGCAGGGAGGGAACCAAATGTTGCAAATCCCAGCAGAAAATTCCGGCGGGACCCGAACTCCCGGGATTCCTCCCAGAACTCGGCGGCCGCGCTCGGAATGTGGGGGGGACGAAAAGAAAAAGAAAAAATTTCCCTGGGAGATCCCTGAGGTTTCGGGAATTTGGGAATCTAAAGGACAGAATTCCCACGTTCCCGTTCCCCGAGGGATTCGGGAATTTGGGAATCGTTTCCATGAAAACCTGGGGGGGGTTTTGGCCCCTGGGAGAGCCCTGGGGGAGATTCCCAGATCCCCAAAAAAAACTGGGAATGACTGGGAGCAGCTTGGAAGGGTTTGGGATGCAGGGAAAAGCTGGGAACTGCGGGATTATCCTGCAGCATTCCCGGTAAAAACACCTGGGAATTGTACGGGGAAAACCCCCCAGCTGCCCCTGGAATTCTGGTTTTCCTTGGAAAACCTCTGAGTGGTCGGAAATGTTGGAAAATGGGATTTTTTTTCCCCCCCAGTTTTTTCCTCCTTCCAACCCTGGTTTATCCCGTGTTCCGTGGGATTTTCCAGCTGGGAATTCCAAACCTGCCGTGGGGAGGAACCCAGTGGGCAGAAATGTTGGGAAAAGGGAATTTTTTTCCCATTCCAAGCTCCAATTTTCTGGTAATTTTGGATCTCTGGGAGCTGGGAAGGAACCCAATGGGCAGAGATGTTGGGAAGAGGGAATTTTTTCCCAATCCAAGCTCCAATTTTTTGTGAATTTTGGATATTCTGGGAGGCAGGAAGGGAGGGCAGGGCTGGGGTCCCTCCGGAGGCGCCCCTGGAATGGGAATTGTGGGAATTGTGGGAATTGCCGTGGCTGGGCCGCCCCCAGGCAATTAAGGAGCTTTAATTAAGCCGAATTAAGCGACTTTTTTATAGCCTGGGTAAGCCCCGGCTGCTTCCAGAGGGGCTGGAGAAGCCCCGGGATCCTGGGGCGCCCCTGGCTGGGATCTGGGCACCCCTGGATTGCGGCTGTTATGGGAAATCCCCCCGGGAACACCACGGAGCCCGGAATTCGGGGATTTTGGGATGAAAACCGGGAATTTTGGGTGGACAGCAGGGGCTGACCTGGCCCTGCCTGGTGGATAATGCCGAGGTTAATCCCGATTTTCCTGCGGATTGGCCGGGAACGGCCAGGGCAGCGCCTGGGGCTGGGGCTGGGACAGGGGCTGGGAAATCCTCGGGGGCTTTTCCTGGGATCGCTGCCCTGGGGGCTGATCCCGGAGAAAAGGGGGAGCCAGGGGGGTTTGGGATCTGATCCTGGAGAAAAGGGGGATCCAGGGGGGTTTGGGATCTGATCCCGGAGAAAAGGGGGAGCCAGGAGGGGTTTGGGATCTGCCAGAGGGATTTGGGATCTGATCCCGGAGAAAAGGGGGAGCCAGGAGGGGATTTGGGATCTGATCCTGGAGAAAAGGGGGAGCCAGGGGGGTTTGGGATCTGATCCCGGAGAAAAGGGGGATCCAGGAGGGGTTTGGGATCTGATCCTGGAGAAAAGGGGGAGCCAGGAGGGGATTTGGGATCTGATCCTGGAGAAAAGGGGGAGCCAGGGGGGGATTTGGGATCTGACCCGGAGAAAAGGGGGAGCCAGGGGGGATCTGGGATCTGATCCCAGGGGGAATTTGGGATCTGGTCCCAGAGGGGGAATTTGGGATCTGATCCCAGAGGGAGATTTGGGATCTGGTCCCAGGGAATGGGGCAGGACAAGAGGGAACGGCCTCGAGCTGTGCCAGGGCTGGAAATTTGGGATGGTTTTTCCATGGAAAAAGGGTTGGGAAGCGCCGGAAGGGGCTCAGGGAGGGAAAATTCCCCATCCCTGGAACCTTCCAAGGAATTCCTGGAGATCCCTCTGGATCTTCCAGAGTGCCTGGGGGTGTCCTGAGAGTGCCCAGGGGTCATCACCTGGCCTGGGAGTGACCAGCGGTCACTCTGGCTGTCCTGGGCCATGTCCGGCTGTCCTGGGCCATGTCCAGATGTCCTGGGAGTGCCCAGGGGTCATCACCTGGCCTGGGAGTCACCAGGGGTCACTCTGGCTGTCCTGGGTCACATCCGTCTGTCTGGGGCCGTGTCCGTCGGTCCGGGGCCGTGTCCGTCTGTCCGGGCATGCCCAGGGTCACTCTGTCTGTCCGGGCCGTGTCCGTCTGTCCTGGGCCGTGTCCATCTGTCCTGGGCCGTGTCCGTCTGTCCGGGCGTGCACAGGGGTCACTCTGTCTGTCCTGGGCCGTGTCCATCGGTCCGGGGCCGTGTCCGTCTGTCCTGGGCCGTGTCCGTCGGTCCGGCCGTGCCCGGGGCCGCTCCCCGTTGCCTCCATGCCGAGCTCCCGTGTCCTGCCCAGGTTGAGCAGCCTCTCCTCGGCCCTGGGCGATTCCCCCGCGGAGCGAAGGGCGCCCGGGCCCCAGCGGCAGCCGCCGGACGCCTCCGCGAGCACAGGTGGGAACCGGGCCTGGAATTCCAGGAATTCTGAGGGAACTCACTGGGCACTCACTGGGCACTCACTGGGCACTCACTGGGAACTCACTGGGCACTCACTGGGCACTCACTGGGCACTCACTGGGCACTCACTGGGCACTGAGCGGGCACTCGGGGCCAGGCTGTGGGTCCAGGTCTTCCTGGGCTCTTGGAACTTTGGGATTTGGGGTCCCACAGGGGGGAACAGGGGGCTGGGGACAGGAGATCATGGTCAGGGGTGGACAGTGACCACAGGGTCAGGGTGGACAGTGACCACAGGGTCAGGATAGACAATGACCACAGGGTCAGGGTGGTCAGGACAGTGACCACAGGGTCAGGGTGGTCAGGACAGTGACCCCGAGGCGTTGCAGGCCCTGGAACTGGGGGGTTCCTCAAAGCCAAGCCCAGAGTCCGGAGCCTCACTGCCTCCTCTTCCTCCTGTCCGTGTGTCCCCGTGTCTGTCTGTCCCCGTGTCCATGTGTCCCCTGTGTGTCCGTGTGTCCGTGTGTCCGTGTGTCTGTCTGTCCGTGTGTCCGTGTGTCCCGCGGTGCCCAGGGCTGGTGCAGCGCTGTGTCATCATCCAGCGGGACCAGCATGGCTTCGGCTTCACCGTCAGCGGCGACCGCGTGGTGCTCGTGCAGTCCGTGCGGCCCGGTGGGTGCGGCTGGACACGGGCTGGACACGGGGTGGACACGGGCTGGACACGGGATGGACACGGGGATGGACATGGGGTGGACACTGCTGGACATGGGGTGGACACAGGGATGGACATGGGGTGGACACAGGGATGGACACTGCTGGACATGGGGATGGACACGGGGTGGACACGGGATGGACACGGGGATGGACACGGGGTGGACACGGGATGGACACAGGGATGGACACGGGGTGGACATGGGATGGACACAGGGATGGACACTGCTGGACATGGGGATGGACATGGGGTGGACACGGGGATGGACACAGCTGGACATGGGGATGGACACTGCTGGACATGGGGATGGACACAGGGATGGACACTGCTGGACATGGGGATGGACACGGGGTGGACACGGGATGGACACGGGGATGGACACGGGGTGGACACGGGATGGACACGGGGATGGACACAGGGATGGACATGGGGATGGACACGGGGATGGACACTGCTGGACATGGGGATGGACACGGGGTGGACACTGCTGGACACGGGGTGGACACTGCTGGACAAGGGGATGGACATGGGATGGACATGGGGGTGGACACGGGGATGGACAATCCCCAGGGGTCCCCTCATCCACCCCCAGCCTCAGCCTGGGGGAGAAAATGTTGGGAAAATGAGGGAACGTGGTGGGAAAATGGGGGAGAAAAGTGGCAGGAAAATGGGGGAGGAAGGTGTTTTTCCTTGGGAAATGTCCCAGTTTTGGGGAGTTTTGCTCCGGGATTGGAAGGGACGGGGCTGGGGGTGGGGAAGCCCCCGTGGAACATTCCGGAGTCGCTCTGGGGCCCGCCCTGACCCCGCTGTGTGCAGGTGGGGCTGCCATGAGGGCCGGCGTGCAGGAGGGCGACCGCATCCTCAAGGTGGGCGCTCCCGGGTCCCAGATCCCGGGAAACTCCCGCATTCCCAATCCCCGGAAAATTCCCACATTCCCAGCCCCCTCCCCACATTCCCAGGGGAAATTCCTGGGTAAATTCCCATTTTCCCAGCCCTTTCCCAGCCCTTTCCCGGCCGTTGCAGGTGAACGGGACAATGGTGACCAACAGCTCCCACCTGGAGGTGGTGAAGTTGATCAAGTGTGAGTTGGGATGGGATGGGATGGGATGGGATGGGATGGGATGGGATGGGATGGGATGGGATGGATGGGATGGGATGGGATGGGATGGGATGGGATGGGATGGGATGGGATGGGATGGGATCCATCCTTTGGGAATTTGGGGGGAGCCTGGAAGTGTTCCCAGCCCTTTTCCCCTCGTTTTCCCAGGAAATCCTTCATCCCAAACTCTCCCTGGAAATGCTTCCCACTCCCAGTTCTCCCAGAAATTTTTCATGGAAATTTTTTTCCTTGGAAATCCTCCCTGGAAATCCTTCTCACCTCTTTTCCCAAGTTTTTCCTGGGAATCTTTCTCACCCCGGATATTTCCTGGAAATCCTTTCCCCCCCATTTTCCTGGAAATCCTCCTGGCTCCCTTTTCCCAGTTGTTTTCTTGGAGTCCCCCTCATCACCCCTTATCCCGGATTTTTCCAGAAACCCTTCCCGCCCCCGTTCCTCCCGGAGTTTTCCCCCCGTTGTGGATTTTCCCCGCAGATCCCCCCTCACATTTCCTTTATCCCGGGCTGTCCCTGGGCGCTCCCCTGACATTCCCGTGTTCTGTTCCCAGCCGGTGCCTACGTGGCCCTGACCCTGCTGGGGTCCCCACCAGGCCCCGTGGGGGTCCCGGGCCCCCAGCAGGAGCCGGAGCCCCCGGGCTGTGCCCCGGGCGCCCCCCAGCGCATCACGGAGCCCCGGCCGCTGCAGGTGAGCCCCGGAGCCCCTGAGGGGATCCCATTGTCCCCATTGTCACCATGGTCCCCATTGTCACCATTGTCACCATCGTCCCCATGGTCCCCATGGTCCCCATCGTCCCCATTGTACCCATTGTCCCCATTGTCACCATTGTCACCATTGTCACCATTGTCCACATGGTCCCCATTGTCCCCATGGTCCCCATTGTACCCATGGTCCCCATTCTTGTTCCCATCCCCATGGTTCCCATGGTCCCCATTGTCCCCATTGTCCCCATTGTCCCCATTCTTGTTCCCATCCTCATTGTCCCCATTGTCCCCATGGTCCCCGTTGTCACCATTCTTGTTCCCATCCCCATTGTCCCCATTCTTGTTTCCATTCCCACTATCCCGTTATTCCCATTGTCATTCCCGTTATTCCCATTGTCATTCCCGTTATTCCTGCTGTCATTCCCATTGTTATTCCCGTTATTCCCATTGTCATTCCCGCTGTCATTCCCATTGTCATTCCCACTATTCCCATTGTCATTCCCGCTGTCATTCCCGCTGTCATTCCCATTATTCCCATTGTCATTCCCATTATTCCCATTGTCATTCCCATTGTCATTCCCGCTGTCATTCCCACTATTCCCATTGTCATTCCCGCTGTCATTCCCGCTGTCACTCCCGCTGTCATTCCCACTATTCCCATTGTCATTCCCGCTGCCATTCCCGTTATTCCCATTGTTATTCCTGTCATTCCCATTGTCATTCCCGCTGTCATTCCCGCTGTCACTCCCGCTGTCATTCCCACTATTCCCATTGTCATTCCCGCTGTCATTCCCGTTATTCCCGTTGTCATTCCCGCTGTCATTCCCGTTATTCCCATTGTCATTCCCATTGTCATTCCCGCTGTCATTCCCGGTGCTCTCCCTCTGGCGCTGCAGGACCCCGAGGTGCAGAAGCACGCGGCGCAGATCCTGCGCAACATGCTGCGCCAGGAGGAGGCCGAGTACCAGGTACTGCCACCCTGCATGGTTCCCTTTGGGCTGGTTTGGGCTGGTTTGGGCTGGTTTGGGGCTGCTTTGGGCTGGTTTGGGCTGGTTTTGGAGCTGTTTTTGGCCTGGTTTTGGCCTGTTTTTGGGGCTGGTTTTGGCCAGTTTTGGGGCTGGTTTGGGGCTGGTTTTGGGTCTGGTTTGGGGCTGTTTTTGGGGCTGTTTTGGGGCTGGTTTTGGCCTGGTTTTGGGGCTGTTTTTGGCCTGTTTTTGGGCCTGTTTTTGGGCCTGTTTCTGGGCCTGTTTTTGGCCTGTTTTTGGGCTGTTTTGGGGCTGGTTTTTGGCCTGGTTTTTGGCCTATTTTTGGCCTGTTTTTGGGGCTGGTTTTGGGGCTGTTTTGGGGGCTGGTTTTGGGCTGCTTTGGGGCTGGTTTTGGCCTGTTTTTGGCCTGGTTTTGGGGTTGTTTTTGGCCAGTTTTTGGGGCTGTTTTTGGCCTGTTTTTGGCCAGTTTTTGGCCTGTGTTTTGGGGCTGGTTTTTGGCCTGTTTCTGGCCTGGTTTTGGCCTGGTTTTGGCCAGTTTTTGGCCTGGTTTTGGCCTGGTTTTGGCCTGGTTTTGGGGTTGTTTTTGGCCAGTTTTTGGGGCTGTTTTTGGCCTGTTTTTGGCCAGTTTTTGGCCTGTGTTTTGGGGCTGTTTTCCCCGCGGACCCCCGTGCATCCCCGTGTCTCCCCCCTGTCCCGGCAGCGTTTCCAGGAGCTGCTGCAGCGGCAGCCGGGCGCGGGCGCGGCGCTGGAGGAGCAGCTGGAGGGGGCGCGGCGCCGGCTGAGCCAACTGCAGCTCAAGGTGCTGCAGGAGGCGCGGGCAGCGGCGGCCCCGGTACGGAGCGGGAACCACGGGAATGAACGGGAATGAACGGGAACAACGGGAATGAACGGGAATGAACGGGAATGAACGGGAACAACGGGAACGACGGGAATGAACAGGGACGGAGACGGGGATGAGACCGGGATGGGAATGGGAACGAGACCGGGATGAATGCAGGGATGGATGCGGGGATGGATACGGGGATGAGACGGGGATGGATCTGGGAACGTGCGGGGATGGATACGGGAATGAGACGGGAATGGATACGGGAACGAGACCGGGATGGATGCAGGGATGGATGCGGGGATGGATACGGGAATGAGATGGGGATGGATACGGGGATGGATGCGGGAATGATACGGGAATGATATGGGAATGATACAGGTATGGATGTGGGTACCAGATGGGAATGGATCTGGGGATGGATGCGGGAATGGATCTGGGGATGGATATGGGAACGAGATGGGGATGGATCCGGGGATGGATCCAGGGATGATCTGGGAATGATACAGGAATGTGCGGAGATGGATCTGGGAATGGATGGGGATGGATACGGGAATGATCCGGGAATGATTCTGGGAATGATCCTGGGAATGATCCAGGAATGATTCTGGGAATGATCCAGGAATGATTCTGGGAATGATCTGGGAATGATCCCGGGAATGATCCAGGAATGGTTCAGGAATGTATGGGAATGGTCCCAGAAGGGATCTGGGAATGGTTCAAGAATGTACGGGGATGGATCTGGGAATGATACGGGAACGATACGGGAACGATACAGGAATGATGTGGGAATAAATCCGGAAATGAATACGGGAATGAATACGGGAATGATCCGGGAAAAAATACAAGAATGGATATGAGAATTCTGGGAATGATCCTGGGAATCAATCCGGGAATGATCTGGGAATAGATCCTGGGAATCATCCCGGGAATAATCCTGGGAATCATCCTGGGAATATTCCCGGGATTGCCCCTGAGCCCTTCCCGCTGTTTCCCGGGAATTCCGCTTTCCCAAAAACCAAAACTGGGGGTGGGGGTGGCTGGGTGGGAATTTCCTCGTTCCTGGGTTTCTGGGATCCCCTTTTCCCTTTGGTGCCTTTCCCGGGGTTCCCCAGATTCCCCTTTTCCCTTTTCCCAGGATTTGGGCTCCCGGCCCCTGGAGGGGTCCCCGCAGCTCCCGGGGCGCCTCCCCAGGGACCCCCAGGATGGGAACCCGGGGCTGGAGGAGAGGGGCCCGGCCCTGCCAGAGGTGAGGGGAGAAACACGGGAAAAACACGGGAAAATCTGGGGAAAATCCAGGGAAATTCCGGGAAAAATTCTGGGAAACATCAGGAAAAAATCTGGGGAAAATCTGGGAAAAATCCGGGGAAAAATCTGGGAAAAATCCGGGGAAAATCTGGGGAAAAACCCGGGAAAAATCTGGGAAAAATACGAGGAAAATTTTGGGAAAAACCCGGGAAAGAATATGGGGGAATTCCAGGAAAAATGCGGAAAAAATACGGGAAAAAATACGGGGGAATTCGGGGGAAAATCTGGGGAAAAACCTGGGAGAACCCTGGGGAAAATTCTGGGGAAAATCCAGGAAAAAGGGGCGGGGAAGGGTTTGAGAAAATCTGGGAAAAGTGGAGGGAAAGCCTGCAGGGAAAATTTGGGAAAAGAGAGAGGGGAAGTTCCAAGGAAGGTTTGGGAAAAAGGGGAAGAAATTCCAGGAAAACTTTGGGAAAAGCGTGGGGGAAAATGTCAGGAAAGTTTCGGGAGAAAGTGGTGGGGGAAATGAAGGGAAAAACGGGGGAAAAAAGGGAGAAAATTCAGGAAAAAGGGGGGAAAATGATTCCAGGAGAAATCTGGGGAAAGGGGATGAAAATTCTGGGAAAAACTCCATGGAAAGCTTGGGAAAAAGGGGGGAAATTCCAGGAGAGGTGGAAAACCTCCCCCCAGAATCTGGGATCCCCCGGAATTCCCGGCTCCTTTTCCCTCTCTGGGAATTCCAGGGGGTTTCGGGATTCCCCCTCCCCTGGGGGTGTTCCTGGGGGTCCTGATCCCGCAATTCCCTTTCCCAGGTTTCCCGGAATTCCGGCTTCTCCGAGCCCGGCAGCCCCCGGAGCTCCCCCGTGCTCGGCTCCCGCCTCTCCACGGATCCGGTGGGGCTGGGAAATCCCGGAAAATCCTGGGAAAATCCGGGAAAACCCCGGGAATCCCCGCGGGGATCCCCCCCAGAGCCCTTCCCAGAGCTTGATCCCGGCTTTTTTTTGGGATAGGGATCAGGGAGGCCCCAGATCATCGGCCCCGAGGAGGATTGTGAGCCTGGGAATGGCAGCAACGAGGTGAGAATTCCAGGGAAAGCGGGAATTGGGGATTTGGGAATTCCGTGGGGGGATTTCGAGGGGATTCCAGGGATTTTGGGAATTCCCATTTCTCCCTCTCTGTGTTCCCAGAGCGATTCCGTGTTCCAGGATTTGGGAATTCTCAAATCCCGCCCGGCCCATCTGGGAGTTTTCCTGAGGTTCCTCTTCTCCCAGGCAGATCCCACTCCTCTGGTAAGGAATTCCCAAAATTCCCGGGATTTCCTGACCCCCCTGGGATCCCATTCCCAACTTCCAGCACCTCCCAGAGTTTCCAGGAATATTCCTGGGAGTAAATCCTGGGATTTTTCTGACCCTTGGATCCCATTCCCAACCCCTGGCGCCTCCCAGAGATTCCGGGAATATTCCTGGGATCAGGAAGGTGCAGAAATTCCAGGATTTCCTCAAAATTCCCTGGGATTTCCTGCTCCTGTGGTGCCATTCCCACCCAATCCCTGGGCCCTTCCCAGAGCGTCCCTGCCCGGGGCTCCGGATGGAGCAGAATTCCAGGGATTTCCTCAGCATTCCCGGGATTTCCTCAGCATTCCAGGGTTTCCTCAGCATTCCCGGGATCTCCTCAGCATTCCCGGGGTTTCCTCAGCATTCCCGGGGTTCCTCAGTATTCCTGGTTTTCCCAGCATTCCCGGGATTTCCTCAGCATTCCCAGGGATTTCCTCAGAATTCCAGGGATTTCCTCAGCATTCCAGGGTTTCCTCAGCATTCCCGGGGTTTCCTCAGCATTCCCAGGGGTTTCTCAGCATTCCCAGGGATTTCCTCAGCATTCCTGGGGTTCCTCAGCATTCCCGGTTTTCTCAGCATTCCCGGTTTTCCGCAGCTCTTCCACCTGTGCTCCGAGGTTTGCTGCCAGCAGAGCCCCCGCGACGGCCGCGCCCTGGCCAGGGACATCTGGGGCGTCTTCCTGGACAGGGCGGCGGTGAGCCCGGGATACGGCAGGGGGAATTCCCGGGATTCTGGGGGGAATTCCCGGGATTCTGGGGGGAATTCCCGGAATTTTGGGGGATTCCCGGGATTCTGGGGGGTTCAAAGGCATTTCGGGAGGATTCAAAGGGATTTGGAGAGGATTTTCCAGGATGTTGAAGAGTTTTGGGGCGATACTGTGGAACTTTGGGGAGGATTTTTCTGGGGATTTGGGGGGGATTTTCTGGGTTTTTGGAGAATTTTAAGGAATTTGGGGGGGATTGTCGGGGATTTGGGGACGGATTTTCCCAGGATTTTGGGATGGATTTCCCAGGATTTTGGGATGGATTTTCTGGGATTTTGGGATGGATTTTCCCAGATTTTTGGGATGGATTTTCCCAGGATTTTGGGATGGATTTTCTGGGATTTTGGGATGGATTTTCCCAGATTTTGGGATGGATTTTCTGGGATTTTGGGATGAATTTTCCCAGGATTTTGGCATGGATTTCCCAGGATTTTGGGATGGATTTTCCCAGGATTTTGGGATGGATTTTCCCAGATTTTTGGGATGGATTTTCCCAGGATTTTGGGATGGATTTTCCCAGATTTTGGGATGGATTTTCTGGGATTTTGGGCTGGATTTTCCCAGATTTTTGGGATGCTTTTCCCTCTTTTCCAGCCCCTGCGGGTGAAGCTGCCGGAGCAGCTCCTGGCTGAGATCGGTGAGTTCGGAATTCCGGGAATTTCCCCCGGGACAAGGAGCCCAGGGCCGGGACTGGGGATTCCCAGACTTTTCCGGGAGCCTCAGTAGAGCCGGGATCAGCTCCCGGAGCGTTCCCAAATTCCCGAATTTCCCGGACCTGCCAGAGCTGCGCCTGCGGAACGGGGACGAGCTGCGGCCGGCGCTGCTGGAGGCGCAGGAATTGGTGATCCCAGAAATCCAGGAGCAGCTCCAGGACTACAGGTGGGAACCCCCCAGACCCCGGAAAATCCCGGGGAAACCCCGGGGAAATCCCAATTCCGGGAATTACGGGAGCTCCCTGTCCCTTTTTGGGGCAGAACCTCGGAAAAACCCCGGATTTTGGGAGGTTTTGTGCCTCCCAATCCCGTTTTTTTTTCTCCTTTTTCCCAGCAGAATCTGAGGAAAATCCCAAATTTGGGGAATTTCAGGAGTTCCCCATCCTCTTGTTTTTGGCTTTTCCCACACATCCGAGGGGAAAATCGGGAATTTCAGGAATTCCTTGCTTTCCTTATCCCACTTGTTTTGCTCTTCTCGGAGAACCAAGCGGAAAATCCCAAATTTTGGGAATTTCGGGACTTTCTGGGTGTCCCAATCCTGTTTTGTTAGCTTTTCCCAGAGAGCCAAGTGGGACATCCCAGACTTTGGGAATGTTGGGAATTCCAGGAGTTCCCGATCCCTTTTTTTTAGTTTTTCCCAGAGAACCAAGTGGGAAATCCCAAAATTTGGGAATCCCGGCAGTTCCCGATCCCATTTTTTTTAGCTTTTCCCGGGGAGCCAAGCGGGACATCTGGGATTTCGGGAATTTTGGGAATGCTGGCAGTTCCCGATCCCGTTTTTTTTGGCTTTTCCCGGGGAGCCGAGCGGGCCATCGGGGATTTCGGGAATGTTGGGAATGCCGGCAGTTCCCGATCCCGTTTTTTTGGCTTTTCCCGGGGAGCCGAGCGGGACATCGGGGATTTCGGGAATTTTGGGAATGCCGGCAGTTCCCGATCCCGTTTTTTTGGCTTTTCCCGGGGAGCCAAGCGGGACATCGGGGATTTTGGGAATTTTGGGAATGCCGGCAGTTCCCGATCCCGTTTTTTTGGCTTTTCCCGGGGAGCCAAGCGGGACATCGGGGATTTCGGGAATTTTGGGAATGCCGGCAGTTCCCGATCCCGTTTCCCGGGGAGCCAAGCAGGCCATCCCAGATTTTGGGAATTTTGGGAATGCCGGCAGTTCCTGATCCCGTTTCCCGGGGAGGCAATCGGGACATTGGGGATTTCGGGAATGTTGGGAATGCCGGCAGTTCCTGATCCCGTTTTCCCTGCCCAGGACAAAGCGCACGCTGGGGCTGGGCAGCCTCTACGGGGAGAACGAGCTGCAGGAGCTGGAGCTGGGGAACGGCCCCCGGGAGAGCCCGGAACGGCGCGAGAGGGAGCGGCTGCTGGCAGAGAGGCAGCTGGGGCACCTCGGGGACATCCTGTGAGCATTGGGAATGTTGGGAATTCCTATGGGATCATTCATTGGGATCATTGGGAGAGGCAGCTGGGGCACCTCGGGGACATCCTGTGAGTGATGGGGGAATTCACTATGGGATCATTGGGAATTCACTATGGGATCACTGGGATCAATGGGATCACTGGGAGAGGCAGCTGGGGCACCTCGGGGACATCCTGTGAGCATTGGGGGAATTCACTATGGGATCATTGGGAATTCACTATGGGATCACTGGGGGAGGCAGCTGGGGCACCTCGGGGACATCCTGTGAGCATTGGGAATGTTGGGAATTCATTGGGAATTCACTATGGGATCACTGGGAGAGGCAGCTGGGGCACCTCGGGGACATCCTGTGAGCATTGGGAATGTTGGGATCATTGGGAATTCCTTATGGGAGCAATGGGAATTCACTATGGGATCATGGGATCACTGGGAGAGGCAGCTGGGGCACCTCGCGGACATCCTGTGAGGGTTTGGGATTTGGGAATTCACTATGGGATCATTGGGAATTCACTATGGGATCATTCATTGGGATCATTGGGGTCACTGGGAGAGGCAGCTGGGGCACCTCGGGGACATCCTGTGAGCGATGGGAATGTTGGGATCATTGGGAATTCACTATGGGATCATTGGGAGAGGCAGCTGGGGCACCTCGGGGACATCCTGTGAGCATTGGGGGAATTCACTATGGGATCATTGGGAATTCACTATGGGATCATTGGGAGAGGCAGCTGGGGCACCTCGGGGACATCCTGTGAGTGATGGGAATGTTGGGAATTCATTGGGAATTCACTATGGGATCATTCATTGGGGTCATTGGGTGAGGCAGCTGGGGCACCTCGGGGACATCCTGTGAGCATTGGGAATGTTGGGAATTCCTATGGGATCATTGGGATCAATGGGAGAGGCAGCTGGGGCACCTCGGGGACATCCTGTGAGTGATGGGAATGTTGGGAATTCCTATGGGATCATTGGGAATTCCTATGGGATCATTGGGGTCACTGGGAGAGGCAGCTGGGGCACCTCGGGGACATCCTGTGAGCATTGGGAATGTTGGGATCATTGGGAATTCACTATGGGATCAATGGGATCACTGGGAGAGGCAGCTGGGGCACCTCGGGGACATCCTGTGAGCATTGGGAATGTTGGGAATTCCTATGGGAATTCACTATGGGATCACTGGGAGAGGCAGCTGGGGCACCTCGGGGACATCCTGTGAGTGTGGGGAATGTTGGGAATTCCTATGAGATCATTGGGATCAATGGGAGAGGCAGCTGGGGCACCTCGGGGACATCCTGTGAGTGTTGGGATCATTGGGAATTCCTATGGGATCATTGGGAATTCCTATGGGATCATTGGGGTCACTGGGAGAGGCAGCTGGGGCACCTCGGGGACATCCTGTGAGTGTTGGGATCATTGGGAATTCACTATGGGATCATTGGGATCCCTTATGGGATCACTGCAACAGGGAGAGGCAGCTGGGGCACCTCGGGGACGTCCTGTGAGCGTTTGGGATTTGGGAATTCCTTATGGGATCACTGGGAATTGCTATGGGAATTGGGAATTCCTGATGGGTTCCTCGGGAATTCCTGTTGGGATTGGCGCCTCGGGGACATCCTGTGATGATTCAGGAATTCCTGATGGGATTCGGGGCTGCAGTGGGAACTTTGGGATTGGGAGCGGGAATGTGGGATTGGGAACGGAAGAATCCAAGGAATTTCCTTTTCCCACAGCTCCAAGTACGAGGAGGAGCGGAGGTGAGCGGATCCAGTGGGAAAAATCCCCAGGAATTTGGGATGTTCCCAGTTTTCCCTGTGGAATCTCTTTCCCCCCTTTTTCCCTTCCCTCTTTTCCCTCCCATTCCCAGTTTTCCCCGTGGATCCTTTCCCTGGAATTCCCAATTTTCCCAGTTTTCCCAGCGGATCCGGGCCCCCGGGGATCCCGGGAATTCCGCCCATCCCACCCTCTGGAATTCTCTCTCCCAGCTCCCCCATGGCCTTCGCCCTCAGCACCTTCATGGCCCACGCCGGGATCCGGCCCCGGGAATTCCGGGAGTGCCGGGAATCCCGGGAATGCCGCAATCCCGGCGCCCCCGAGAAGCTCCCGGACAAGGACAAGTGGCTGCCCTTCTTCCCCAAGGCCAAAAAGGTGGGAATGGCCCGGGATTCCCAGGAATTCCCCGGAATTCCAGGGAGCAGCGCTGGGGGGAGAGCCCAGGGCACCAACCCGGGGCGTTCAGGGGGGATCCCGGGAATTTTCACCCAAATCCCGGGAATTTTAGACCTGAACCCTGGGAATTTGCTGACCCAAATCCTGGGATTTGGGGTTGAGGATGGGAATTCGGGGATTTGGGATGGGAAGTTGGGGATTTGGGATGGGGATTGAGGGTGGAAATTCAGGATTTGGGATGGGAATTCAGGATTTGGGATGGGAATTCAGGATTTGGGATGGGAATTCGGGATTTGGGATGGAAATTCAAGTTTGGGATGGGAATTCAGGATTTGGGATGGAAATTCAAGTTTGGGATGGGAATTCAGGATTTGGGCTGGAAATTCAGGATTTGGGATGGGAATTCAGGATTTGGGATGGAAATTCAAGTTTGGGATGGGAATTCAGGATTTGGGCTGGAAATTCAGGATTTGGGCTGGGGAGCTCCCGGGATTCCGAGCGATTCCAGGATTTTTTCCCAACAGAGCAGCAGCTCCAGGAAGGAGAAGGAGCAGAGGCAGAACCCGATCCTGAAATACATCGGGAAACCCCGGAGCTCCTCCCAGAGCAGTGAGTGAGCCCGGAACGCCGGGAAAATCCCGGGAAAATCCGGGAAAATCTGGGAAAATCCAGGAAAATCCCGGGAACGGCCCGGCCCCGGCATGCCTGGGATTCCTGGGAATTCCTGGGGATTTCTTGGGATTTTACAGGGATTTTCTTGAGATTTTTCTGGAATTTTCCAGGGATATTTTCCTGGGATTTTCCTGGAATTTTCTCAGCATTTTCCTTGGGATTTTCTTGGGAATATCCCAGGATTTTCTTGGGACTCTCCTTGGATTCTCCTTGGATTCTCCTTGGATTTTCCAGGGATTTTCCTGGGATTCTCCAGAGATTTTCCCAGCATTTTCCCTGGAATTCCCCAAATTCCCCTGGAATTCCCAGCTCCCAGCCTCATTCCCGCATTCCCATCCCGTTTTTCTTTTTTCCGTTCTCATCCCATCAGCATTCCCGAATTCCCGGTTTTCCCCCGGGGATTTTGGGAATTCTGACGCCTCCTCTTTGTTTTCCAGCATTTCATGTCCCCCTGTCCCCTGCTGAAGGTAAAAATTCCCAATTTTTTGTTGCTTTTCCTTCATTTTTCTGTCATTGTTTTCCCTTGGTTTTGGGGTTTCTTCCCATTTTTTCTTCCCTGATGAAATTCCTGGGAACTCTGGGATTTGGGGGGGTTGGGATTTGGGAATTTGGGATTTAGGAGGGAATTTGGGGGTTTAGGGTGTAGGAAGGGAGCTCAGGTTTTAGGATGGGAAATTCAGAATTCAGGATCAGAAATCTGCTATTTGCGATGGGAATTTAAGATGGGAATTTTGGCATTTAGGATGGGAAATTCAGAATTTAGGATCAGGAATTCGGGATTTGGGAAGAGAATTTTGGGGATTTAGGATCAGGAATTTTGGGATTTGGGCTGGGAAATTCAGGATTTAGGCAGGGAGTTCTGGGATTTTAGGGTCAGGGGTGTGGGATCCGGGATCAGGAATTTGGGATTTAAGCAGGGAGTTTTGGGATTTTAGGATCAGGAATTTGGGATCCAGGGTCAGGAATTCAGGCTTTAGGCAGGGAGTTTTGGGATTTTGGGGTCAGGATTTGGGATCCGGGGTCAGGAGTTCGGGATTTAGGCAGGGAATTCTGGGATTTAGGGTCAGGATTTTGGGATCCGGGATCAGGAGTTCGGGATTTAGGCTGGGAATTTCGGGATTTTGGGGTCAGGATTTTGGGATCCGGGGTCAGGAGTTCGGGATTTAGGCAGGGAATGTCGGGATTTAGGGTCAGGATTTTGGGATCCGGGGTCAGGAATTCGGGATTTAGGCTGGGAATTCTGGGATTTAGGGTCAGGATTTTGGGATCGGGGTCAGGAGCTGCCGTGTGGCGCCCCCAGCTCCCGGCGCTGCGTTTCCCAGCAGTGAGGCCGGGGAACGTGCGGACGATGATCCAGCACTTCGAGAACAGCCACGGGGAGCCCCCGGAGCCGGGCGGGGCCGAGCAGCGCCTGAGCACCGGCAGCGTCCCCGAGGAGCTGCTGGACCCCGGCAGGTGCGGCCGCCGCGGCCGGGACGGCTCCCCAGGGCCTGGGGCTCCCACAGCTCCCAACAGCTCCCAACAGCCCGGGGCTCCCCAGGGCCCGGGGCTTCCACAGCTCCCCACAGCCCGGGGCTCCCACAGCTCCCGACAGCTCCCCAGGGCCTGGGGCTCCCACAGCTCCCAACAGCTCCCCACAGCTCCCCACAGCCCGGGGCTCCCCAGGGCCTGGGGCTCCCACAGCTCCCGACAGCCCGGGGTTCCCACAGCCCACAGCTCCCCACAGCCCGGGGCTCCCTGGGGCTCCCCACAGCTCCCCATGGCCCGGGGCTCCCACAGCTCCCGACAGCCCGGGGCTCCCTGGGGCTCCCCACAGCTCCCCATGGCCCGGGGCTCCCACAGCTCCCGACAGCCCGGGGCCCCCACAGCTCCCCACAGCTCCCACAGCTCCCCATGGCCCGGGGCCCCCACAGCTCCCCACAGCTCCCACAGCTCCCCAGGGCCCGGGGCTCACCATGGCCCACAGCTCCCCACAGCTCCTCACAGCTCCCCAGGGCCCACAGCTCCCAACAGCTCCCGACAGCCTGGGGCTCTCCCCACAGCTCCCGACAGCCCGGGGCTCCCACAGCTCCCCACAGCCCAGGGCCTGGGGCCCCCACAGCTCCCATGGCCCACAGCTCCCCACGGCCTGGGGCTCCCACAGCCCGGGACTCCCACGGCCCACAGCTCCCCACGGCCTGGGGCTCCCCAGACACCGGGGCTCCCACAGCTCCCCAGGGCCCAGGGCTCCCATGGCCCACAGCTCTCCAGAGCTCCCCACAGTCCAGGGCCCCCACAGCTCCCCACAGCCCGGGGCTCCCCACGGCCGGGGCTCTGCGCCCAGACACCGTGGCTGCCCCAATTCCCGGTATTTTTGTGCCCCAATTCCCATTTCTTTCCCCCCGCATTTCCCTGCCGTGCAGCAGCTCCCGGTGCGAGGTGCGCCTGATTTCTCCCGTGAATCCCGGTATTTTTTGCCCCAATTCTCGGGTATTTTTTGCCCCGAATCCCGGTATTTTTTGCCCCGAATCCCCGGTATTTTTTGCCGTGAATCCCGGTATTTTTTGCCCCAATTCCCGGGTATTTTTTGCCGTGAATCCCGGTATTTTTGTGCCCCAATTCCCATTTCTCTCCCCGCATTTCCCCGCCGTGCAGCAGCTCCCGGTGCGAGGTGCGCCTGGGCCGCTCGGAGTCGCTCAAGGGCCGGGAGGAGCTGCGGCGCTCGCGGCGCTCGGAGCTGGTGCCGCGCTCCCGCAGCGACGTGGACATGGACGCGGGCAGCGACACCCCCCGGCTGCACTCGGCCTCCTCCTCCGCCTCCAGCCTCTCCAACAGGTGCGAAATCCTGGAATTCCCGCAAATCCCGGGGGCCCCGAGCCGCGGGGCTGGGGTAACAGGGGTCTGGGAACGGAATACGGGGAGGTGGGAGCGTCGGGATCCGGGGAATTTGGGATTTCCGGGAGTTTTTGGGGATTCTTACGCCTCCAGACCCTCCAGCAGGTGGGAAATCCTGGAATTCCCTGAATTCCCGGAATTCCCGGGGGCCCAGCCCCAGGTTTTGGGGTTTGGGATGGAAATCTTGGAAAGGAAGGGAAATTGGGATCGCGGGAAGTTTGGGATTTCGGGGGGTTTTTTTGGGAGTTCTCGCCCCTCCAGCCTCTCCAACAGGTGGGAATTCCCAGAGTTCCAGGATTCTGATCCCAGATTTTGGAGTTTGGGATGGAAATCTTGGAAAGGAAGAGAAATTGGGATCGGGGCAAGTTTGGGATTTGGGGTTTTTGGGAATGGGATTTAGGGCGTTGGAAGGAGGGAGGGGTTTTTTTCCTTCGGGTCCCAAATTCCTGAAGGATCCATGGAAAAATCCATGGAATTAACAGGGTTTGGGGTTGAATCCCTGGATTTCGAGGGCGAACTCACCAGGATGGGGGAAACCTTGGGATTTGGGGACACCCCAGGGGGATTTTTCCGTTCTTTTCCCAGATCCCTGGAAAACCCCACCCCCCCCTACACGCCAAAGATGGGGCGCAGGTGAGCGACCCCCCCTGGAATTCCCATTCCCACTTGGCCCATTTCTCCCTCTTCTTTCCCCATTTTTTCCCTCATTCTTTCCCCATTTTTCCCTCTTCCCATTTTTTTCCTCATTCTTTCCCCATTTTTCCCTCTTTTTCCCCATTTTTTCCCCTCATTCTTTCTCCACTTTTCCCTTTTTTACCCCATTGTTTCCCTCATTCTTTCTCCACTTTTCCCATTTTTTCCCATTTTTTTCCCTCATTCTTTCCCCATTTATCCCTCTTTTTTCCCATTTCCCTCCCCAATTTTCCCCAAAATTTCCTCCATTTTTCCCCCTTCTTTCCCCATTTCCCCCGAGTTTTCCCCCAAATTGCCCCCAAAATTTCCCCCAATTTTCCCCGTTTTTCCCCCCCAAATTCCCCCCTTTTTTCCCCCAATTTTCCCCATTTTTCCCCCTTCTTTCCCCATTTGCCCCGAGTTTTCCCCCAAATTCCCCCTGAAATTTCCCCCAAATTTCCCCCCTTTTTCCCCCCAATTTTCCCCATTTTTCCCCCTTCTTTCCCCATTTCCCCATTTTTTCCCCTCATTCTTTCTCCACTTTTCCCTTTTTTATCCCATTGTTTCCCTCATTCTTTCTCCACTTTTCCCATTTTTTCCCATTTTTTCCCCTCATTCTTTCCCCATTTATCCCTCTTTTTTTCCCATTTCCCTCCCCAATTTTCCCCAAAATTTCCTCCATTTTTCCCCCTTCTTTCCCCATTTCCCCCGAGTTTTCCCCCAAATTTCCCCTCTTTTTCCCCCAGTTTTCCCCCCAAATTTTCCCCCAATTTTCCCGTTTTTCCCCCCAAATTTCCGCCCTTTTTCCCCCAGTTTTTCCCCCCAAATTTCCCCCCTTTCCCCCCAATTTTCTGCACTTTTTCCCCCCTACATTTCCCCCTTTTCCCCATTTCCAGGAGCATGGATTCTCCCAGCCTGGGCTTCGGGGCCGACGCTTTCCTCCCGCACCTCCTGGAGGACGAGCAGGGCCCGGGCCCGGACCTGGAGCCGGATCCCGAAGCGCAGAGCGCGCAGAATTGCCAGGGCTGGCAGCAGCAGCAGCAGCCGAGCTCCCCCGGCAGCGGCCCGGGCTGGCAGCAGCAGCAGCAGCAGCAGCAGCAGCAGCAGCAGCAGCAGCAGCAGAGCCCCAGCGGCGCCCAGAGCTGGCAGCACTCGGTGAGCCGCGAGCTGCTGGGCAGCCTCAGCCAGCGCGAGGTGGATCGGCAGGAGGTCATCAACGGTGCGGGAATGCCCGGGAATACCGGGAAATGAAATGAGGGAATACCGGGGGAATGGCGGGGAATGCGGGAATGCCAGGGAAACGCGGGAATGCCCGGGAATGGCGGGGCATGCCCGGGAAATGCGGGAATGGCGGGAATGTCCGGGAAATGCGTGAATGCCCAGGAATGCCGGGAATGCCCGGGAAATGGCGGGAAATGCGGGAATACCGGGAATGGCGGGAATGTGGGAATGAGGGAATGCCCGGGAATGCCCGGGAAATGCGGGAATGCCTGGGAAATGGCGGGAAATGCCCGGGAAATGCGGAAATGGCGGGAAATGGCGGGAATGCGAGAATGCTGGGAATGCGGGAATGTCCGGAAATGCGGGAGTGTGGGAATGCGGGAATGCCGGGAAATGGCGGGAAATGCAGGAATGTGGGAATGCCGGGAATGCCCGGAAATGCAGGAAATGCGGGAATGCCCGGGGGGTGCTTCTGGGGGGAGCATTCCCGGGATCTGGGGGCTCATTCTTAGCCCTTTCCCAGGATTAGGGGATCATTCCTGGGATTTGGGGGCTTATTCCCAGTTCCATGCTGGGTTTGGGTCTCACTCCCGGGATCTGGGGGCTCATTCCTGGGATCTGGGGGCTCATTCCCTGTTCCGTGCTGGGTTTGGGGTCTCACTCCCGGGATCTGGGATCCCATTCCCGTTTTTTTTTCCCAGGATTTGGGGCTGGGTTTGGGGTTTTGGGTGTTGGGTTCTGCTCTGGGGGCTGCTTTCGGAATAGGACGTCCCCAATGTCCCCTGTGCTGTCCCAACCGGTGGGCTCGGTCCCTGTGTCCCCAGTGTGTCCCCAATGTCCCCAATGTGTCCCTAATGTGTCCCCCAGAGCTGTTTGTCACCGAGCTGTCCCACCTGCGCATCCTGCGTGTTCTGGATTTGCTTTTCTTCCAACGCCTGCGCCGGGAGCAGCTCCTGAGCCGGGAGGAGCTGGGGCTGCTCTTCCCCAACCTGCCCGACCTCATCGACGTGCACAGTGAGGAAACCCTGAAACCCAAATCCCTGAAACCCCAAAATCCTGAAACCCCAAAATCCTGAAACCCCAAAACCCTGAAACCCCAAATCCCTGAAACCCCAAATCCCTGAAACCCCAAAATCCTGAAATCCCAACATCCTGAAACCCCAAAATCCTGAAATCCCAAATCCCCGAAATCCCAAATCCCTGAAACCCCAAATCCCTGAAACCCCAAAATCCTGAAATCCCAACATCCTGAAACCCCCAAAATCCTGAAATCCAAATCCCCGAAATCCCAAATCCCTGAAATCCCAAATCCCTGAAACCCCAAAATCCTGAAACCCCAAATCCCCGAAATCCTGAAATCCCAAATCCCCGAAATCCTGAAATTCTAAATTTGCCTCCCTTTTCCCTCCTTTTCCCATCTTTTTTGCCTCCCTCTTCCCATTCCTTTTCCCCCTTTTCCCCTACTCCTTTCCCATTCTTTTTTCCCCTTTTCCCCCTTTTTTCCCCACTCCTTTTCCCATTCCTTTCTCTCTTTTTTTTCCCATTCCTTTATCTCTCTTTTTTCCTTCTTTTCCCCCTTCTTCCCCTTTCCCCCCCTTTTTTCCCCCCTTTTACCCTTTTCCCCCCTTTTCCCCCTTTTTCCCCACTCCTTTTCCCATTCCTTTCTCTCTTTTTTCCCCATTCCTTTTCCCATTCCTTTCTCTCTTTTCCCCCACTCCTTTTCCCTACTCTTTTCCCTCTTTTCCCCCCTCCCTTTTTCCATTCCTTTATTACTCTTTTCCCTCTTTTTCCCTCTTTTCCCCCTTTTCGCCCCTTTTCCCCCTTCCCCCCCCTTTTCCCCCTTTCCCCCCCTTTCCCCCCTTTTTTCCCCTCTTTTCCCCTTTCTTCCCCACTCCTTTTCCCTACTCTTTCCCCCTGCCTTTTCCCATTCCTTTCCCTGCATTCCCAGGCTCCCTGTGGGAATCCATGCGGCGGCTCCGGGAGGAGCAGGGTCCCATCATCGGCGACATCGGGGACCTGATGCTGGCCCGGGTAGGGCAGACCCCGGCCCTCCCTCCCTCCTGGGCCACGGAACCTCCCGGGGACGTTTGGGGAACCCCGGGGGTGTTTGGGGAACCCCAGGGGCGTTTGGGGAACCCTGGGACCATTTGGGGATCCCTGGGGGCGTTTGGGGAACCCGGGGGTGTTTGGGGAACCCTGGGGGCGTTTGGGGAACCCGGGGGCATTTAGGGAACCCGGGGGCGTTTGGGGAACCCTGGGGCCGTTTGGGGAACCCCAGGGGCATTTGGGGAACCCCGGGGGCGTTTGGGGAACCCTGGGACCATTTGGGGAACCTGGGGGTGTTTGGGGAACCCTGGGGGCGTTTGGGGAACCCCGGGGGTGTTTGGGGAACCCGGGGCCGTTTGGGGAACCCCAGGGTCATTTGGGGAACCCTGGGGGCGTTTGGGGAACCCCAGGGCCGTTTTGGGGAACCCTGGGGGCGTTTGGGGAACCCGGGGGCGTTTGGGGAACCCAGGGCCATTTGGGGAACCCTGGGGCCATTTGGGGAACCCCGGGGGCGTTTGGGGAACCCCGGGGGTGTTTGGGGAACCCCAGGGGTGTTTGGGGAACCCCAGGGGCGTTTGGGGAACCCCGGGGGCGTTTGGGGATCCCTGGGGTCATTTGGGGAACCCCGGGGGCGTTTGGGGAACCCTGGGGGCGTTTGGGGAACCCCAGGGGCATTTGGGGGGGTTCCAATCCCGGCTTTCCCCGGCGTTCCCAGTTCGAGGGGCGCTGCCAAGGAGGAATTCCAGCGCGTGGCCGCCGCCTTCTGCTCCTCGCAGTCGATCGCGCTGGAGCTGATCCGCACCAAGCAGCGCAAGGAGAGCAGGTTCCAGCTCTTCATGCAGGTCTGGGACTTCCTGAGGGAATTCCTGCCTTTTTTACCTTTATCCCACCTTTTTACCTTTTTCCCACCTTTTTTTACCTTTATCTCCACCTTTTATTTCCCTTTCCCCCCGTCCCCTGATTTTTTCCCTGTCTTCTCTTTCCCCATTTATTTCCCCCAGTTTTCCCTGCGGCGGGGTCAGGAATTCTGGGATTTGAGGATTTCAGTGTTTGGCTCACTGAGGGTTTTGGGATTTGGGGGAACCGGTGGGGTCGGGAACTTTGGGACTCAGGGAATCAATGGGGTCGGGAATTTCAGGATTTCAGGGTTCTGGAAACCAATGGGGTGAGGAATTCGGGGATTTGGGGAAGCCATGGGATGAGGAATTCCGGATTTTGGGAATAAGGGGTTTGGGAATCCCTGCAGGAGGCCGAGAGCAACCCTCAGTGCCGGCGGCTGCAGCTGAAGGATCTGCTGATCGCCGAGATGCAGCGCCTGACCAAGTACCCGCTGCTGCTGGAGAACGTCATCAAGTGCACCCCGGGTAGGGACGGAGCGCCCGGGCCTTCCCCGCCAAATCCTGCCCGCCCCTGTTCATCCCCTGTTCATCCCCTGTTCATCCCCTGCAAACCCTGTTCATTCCCCTGGTTTGCCCTGTTCACCCCCCTGCCCACCCCCTGTTCATCCCCTGCCCACCCCTGTTCATCCCCTGCCAACCCCTGCCCACCCCTGCTCATCTCCTGGTTTGCCCCTGTTCATCCCTGGTTTGCCCTGTAAATTCCATGGTTTGCCCTGGATTTTCCATGGTTTGCCCTGCTTTTTCCCTGGTTTTCCCTGCTTTTCCCCACCATTTTTCCCTGGATCTCTCCATGGGTTTTCCTGTTATCCCATGGGTTTTTCCCACCATTTTTCCCTGGATCTTTCCATGGGTTTTTCCCTGGATTTTCCCCATTTTCCCACCATTTTTCCCTGGATCGTTCCATGGGTTTTTCTCCGTTATCCCATGGGTTTTTCCCTGGATTTCCTTCGTTCTCAGCGGGCTCCCTGGAGCAGGAGAAGCTGTGCCCATTACCACCCCCATTTTTCCCCTACTAATGCCCTTTTTTCCCCTGGATTTCTCCCTGGATTTCTCCCTGGATTTCTCCCTGGATTTCTCCCTGGATTTTCCCCATTTTCCCCCATTATCCCATGGATTTTCCCCTGGATTTCCCCCATTATCCATGGATTTTCCCCTGGATTTTCCCCGTTATCCCCCGGATTTTCCCCCATTTTCCCCCATTATCCATGGATTTCCCCATCCCAGGGGGCTCGGCAGAGCAGCAGAAGCTGCTCCGTGCCCGGGAGCAGAGCCGGGACGTGCTGCGGGCAGGGGATCAGTGATCTCAATCCCATTTTTCCCTGTATTTCCCCCATTATCCATGGATTTTCCCCGTTCCCAGGGGGCTCGGCAGAGCAGCAGAAGCTGCTCCGTGCCCGGGAGCAGAGCCGGGACGTGCTGCGGGCGGTGAACGAGGCCGTGCGCCGCGCCGAGAACCGGCAGCGCCTGCAGGAGCACCAGCGGCGCTTGGACACCTCGGCCCTGGAGAGGACCAGCAACCCCCCTGGCCGCGGAGTTCCGGGTACTCCTGGCTGGTGCTCCGGGGAAAACGGGGGCTCCTGGGGGCCTGGGGCTGCTGCTGCTGAGGCCAGACGGCCTCGGGGACCCGCGGGGTTTAAGGGAATCCCCCATTGTTCCTTGGGAATCCCCCAATTTTCCATGGAAATCCCCCATTGTTCCATGGGAATCCCCCAGTTTTCCATGGGAATCCCCATTTCTGCACCCTGCCCTTACATGGGAAAGCAACCCTGGGTTTTAAGGGAATCCCCCAATTTTCCATGGGAATCCCCATTTCTGCACCCCGGCTTTCCATGGAAATCCCCATTTCCACACCCTGCCCTTCCATGGGGAACAAACCCTGGGTTTTATGGGAATCTCCCATTTTTCCTTGAAAAATCCCCATATCTGCACCCCGGCTTTCCCTGAAGAACCCCTGAGTTTTATAGGAATCCCCAATTTTTCCATGGGAATCCCCCGATTTTCCATGGGAATCCCTTGGTTTTTCCCCTTTTCCCATGAATCCCAGCCCCAGTGGAAAAATGACATGGGAAAAAAGCAACTGTTGGGGTTTTTTTCCCCTGGATTTTGGGGTGTTCTCCATAGATTTTGGGGCGTTTCCCATGGATTTGGAGCGATTCTCTGGATTTTGTGTGTTTCCCCTGGATTTTGGGGTGTTTCCGTGGGTTTTTGGGTGTTTCTCATGGGTTTTGGTCCTGCAGAACCTGGACCTGACCTCGCACCGGATGATTCACGAGGGACCCCTGGCCTGGAGAGTGGGCAAGGACAAGAGCGTGGGTACGGACTGGGGGCAACTGGGAGGGACTGGGATCCAAAAATCCCAAAAACTTACCCCCAAAAACTGAAAAAAAAAAAAAAATCACTAAAATATCACAGAAAAAAATCGTCAAAAAAAAAAAATCCCCAAAAATCACAAAAAAAAATCCCCAAAAATTTTAAAACATCCCCCAAAAACTGAAAAAATATCACTAAAATATCACAAAAAATTTCCCCAAAAATTCCCCCAAAATAAAAAAATAAAATCCTCCAAAAACTGAAGAAAAAATATCACAAAAAACTCCCCCCCAAAAAATCCCCAAAAAAAGCCCCAAAAATTAAAAAATAAAAAATCCCCCAAGAAACCCCCAAAAATAAAAATAAAATTTAAAAATCGCCAAAAATAAAAAAAAATCCCCCAAAACCCCAAAAAAATTCCCCAAAAATCCAAGTAAAATCCAAAAAAAATCCCCCAAAACCCCCAAAAATTCCCAAAAAATCTCAAAAAAAATCCCCAAAAAAATCCCCAAAAATCACAAAAAAATCCCCAAAAATCCAAATAAAATCCCCAAAAATCCCCCAAACCCCCAAAAATCCCCCAAAACCCCCAACCCATCCCCGACCCGCCCTGGATGCCGCAGAGCTGCACGTGCTGCTGCTGGAGGAGCTGCTGGTGCTGCTGCAGCGCCAGGACGAGCGCTGGCTGCTCAAGTGCCACAGCCGGGGCGGCCTGGGCGGCGCCGCCGACACCAAGCAGAGCTTCAGCCCCGTGCTCAAGCTGAGCTCGCTGCTCGTGCGCTCCGTGGCCACAGGTGGGAGCGGGAAATCCGGGAAATCCGGGAATTCTGGGAATAACATGGGGGGTTTGTGCGAAAAAACGGGGGTTTTGTGTAAAATAATGGGGTTTTTAATGGGGTAAATTGGGGTTCAGCCCCGTGCTCAAGCTGAGCTCGCTGCTCGTGCGCTCCGTGGCCACAGGTGGGAGCAGGAATACGGGAATTCCGGGAATTCTGGGAATAACGTGGGGGGTTTGTGCGAAAAAAACGGGGGTTTTGTGTAAAATAATGGGGGTTTTGTGTAAGAAAATGGGGTTTTTGTGTAAAAAAATGGGGTTTTTTCGGGAGGGAAATGGGGCCTCAGCCCTGTCATCAGCTCAGTGCTCTGTGGGCAGGGAAAATCCCAGAACTGCGGGAATTTTGGAGGGAATTTTGGGAATTCTGCAGGTTTTCGGGGGGGGAAATGGGGGTTTTGTGTAAAAAAGGAGGGGTTTGGGGGGAAAATGGGGGGAAATGGGGGTTTTGTGTAAAAAAGGAGGGGTTTGGGGGGAAAATGGGGGTTTTGTGTAAAAAAGGAGGGGTTTGGGGGGAAATGGGGGGAAATGGGGGTTTTGTGTAAAAAAGGAGGGGTTTGGGGGGAAATGGGGGGAAATGGGGGTTTTGTGTAAAAAAAGGAGGGGTTTGAGGGGAAATGGGGGTTTTGTGTAAAAAAAGGAGGGGTTTGGGGGGAAATGGGGGTTTTGTGTAAAAAAAGGAGGGGTTTGAGGGGAAATGGGGGTTCAGCCCTGTCCTGGAGCTCAGCTCCTGCTCATCTGCTCCATGGCCACAGGTAACCCTGGAATTCCGGGAATTTTGGGAGTTTTGGGGCTGGGAATGGGAGGAATTTTGGGAATTTTGGGGGGCTGGGAATGGGAGGAATTTTGGGAATTTTTGTCTCCCCCCCCCAGACAAGCGCGCCCTGTTCATCATCTGCACCTCAGAGCTGGGACCCCAAATCTATGAGCTGGTGGCACTGACGTCCTCGGAGAAGAACACGTGAGGGGAAATCCTGGAAAATGCCCTGGGATGGGCTGGAATTCCTCCCTGGGATGAGGGGGGATTCCCGGGCAGGGCCGGGGTTCCCAGCTGGGATTCCCGTGCGTGATTCCCGCCTGGAATTGCAGGTGGATGCAGCTGCTGGAGCAGGCAGTGCAAGGGGCCACCAGGAGCCTCCCGGGGCCACCGAAACAGGGACAGAGCGAGGGCAGCGGGAACGGAGCCGCCAGGTGGGAAAAGGGGGAAAACGGGGATAATGGGGATAATGGGAATGGTGGGGATAATGGGAATGGTGGGGATGGATGTTGGGGATGGTGGGATAATGTTGGGGATGGTGGGGATGGTGGGATAATGGGAAGATTGGGAATGGGATAATGGGGATAATGGGGATAATGGGAATGGGAATGGGAATCAGAATGGGGATGAGGATGGGAATGACAATGGCAATGGGAATGGGGATGAGGATGGGAATGGGATTGGGTTGGGAATGGGATGGAGCTCAGGCGGTTCCTGGTGTCCCCAGAGGGTCCCTGGGGTGGGGGCTCGGGGCTGCCTGGCCCTGTCCCTGTCCCATTCCTGTTCCCGTTCCCATTCCCATTCCCGTTCCCATTCCCGTTCCCATTCCTGTTCCCGTTCCCGTTCCCATTCCCGTTCCCATTCCCGTTCCCATTCCCGTTCCCATTCCCATTCCCGTTCCCATTCCCGTTCCCAGCCTGTTGCTGCCAGACCCTGCCATGTCCCCGGAGCTGGCGCGAGACACCGAGCCCGAGGATTGCTCCTCAGGTACTGCTGTCCCTGTCCCTGTCCCTGCTGTCCCTGTCTGTGTCCCCACCATGTCCCCATTCCCGTCCCTGTCCCTGTTCCTGTCCCACAGGTGGCAGTGACCCCTGTCCCTGCTGTCCCTGTCCCACAGGTGGCAGTGATTGACCCCTGTCCCTGTCCCTGTCCCTGTCCCTGTCCCAGAGCTGGCAGTGATTGACCCCTGTCCCTGTCCCTGTCCCTGTCCCACAGGTGGCAGTGACCCCGAGCCCTCGGGCCGGGCCCGGCCGCTGCAGGAGCTGCTGGAGGAGCCGCGAGGGGCCCGGGATGGGGACGGGGATGGGGACAGGGACGGGGACGGGGCTGGGGATGGGGACGGGGACAGGGACGGGGACAGGGACGGGGACAGGGATGGGGACAGCGACCCCGACCTGGGGGACCCCGACCCTGACCCCGACCCCGACCCCGGGGACCCCGGCCCCGCCCGGGGGGACCCCGACCCCATCCCGGGGGGTCCCGACCCCGCCCCGGGAGCCCCCAAATGCCCCAGGAGCGCTGGAGTGCTGGAGGCAGCGCTGGAGGACGGTGAGAGATCCCAAAATCCCAAATGCCCCCAGTGTCCTTCCTTCATTCCACTTGGGAAACCCCAAATCCCCCAGTTCTCCCAGTTCCTCTGTTCCCTGGGGAAAATCCCGAATTCCCCAGTTTTCCTTCCTCCATTCCACTTGGGAAACCCCAATTCCCCCAGTTCCTCTGTTCCCTGGGAAATCCCAAATTCCCCAGTTTTCCTTCCTCTGTTTCCTTGGGAAATCCCAAATTCCCCAGTTTTCCTTCCTCCATTCCACTTGGGAAACCCCAAATCCCATTTTTCCCTCCCCAATCCCAGTGGAGGCCCTGCGGCTCCTGATTGTCCGGAGGCTCCGGCCGGGCCGGGATCCCAACCCCGAGGATGGACAGACCCCCATGGCCGGAGCGGCCGGAGCGGCCTCGGGACAGGGCAGTGACCCCCGGGGCTCCGGCCGGGAATTCCCAGTGTCCAGCCAGGAATTCCCAACATCCAGCCAGGAATTCCCGATGTCCAGCCAGGAATTCCCAGTGTCCAGCCAGGAATTCCCAGTGTCCAGCCAGGAATTCCCAACGTCCGGCCAGGAATTCCCAATGTCCAGCCAGGAATTCCCAGTGTCCGGCCAGGAATTCCCAATGTCCGGCCAGGACTCGACCTCGTCCGGCCGGGATTCCGGGATGTCCAGCTGGGAATTCCCAGGGTCCGGCCGGGAATTCCCAGTGTCCAGCCAGGACTCCGGGATGTCCAGTCAGGAGTTCCCGGTGTCCAGCCAGGACTTGGCCACGTCCGGCTGGGAATTCCCGGGGTCCGGTCAGGAAGGGCCGGAGGGGCCGGAGCCCAACGGGATCCGAATCAACCGGAAAGGTAAAGGGGGATTTGGGGGGAATTGGGGCAGGAATTTGGGGTGAGAATTGGGGGAGATGTGGGGGAAATTGGGGCAGGAATTTGTGTGGGATTTGGGGGGAATTGGGGCAGGAATTTGGGGTGAGAATTGGGGGAGATTTGGGGGAAATTGGGGCAGGAATGTGGGGGGATTTTTGGCAGGAATTTGGGGGACATTGGGGAAGGAATTTCTGTGGGATTTGGGAGGGATTGGGGCAGGAATTTGGGGTGAGAATCGGGGGGAATTGGGGCAGGGATTTGGGGTGATTGGGGCAGGAATTTGGGGCAGGAATTGAAGCAGGAATTTGGGGGGATTTGGGGACGATTTGGGGCAGGAATTCAGGGGATTTGGGGCAAAAATTCGGGGGGATTTAGGGCAGGAATTCGGGGGGAATTGGGGCAGGAATTTGTGTGGGATTTGGGGCAGGAATTGGAGTGAGAATTGGGGTGGATTTGGGGTAGGATTGGGAGAATTTTGGGAGATTTGGGGTGGGATTTGTGGGGCAATCGATGGGAATTCCCTGCAGTGCCTGATGCGATCCCTGCTGGGATTTGGGGCCTCGTTCCAGGATTTGGGGCCTCGTTCCCTGTCCCTCTCTGGGATTTGGGTTTTGTTCCCTGCTCCTTTTTGGGATTTGGGGTCTCATTCCCAGCCCTTTTCCCAGATTTGGGGTCTCATTCCCTGGGTGCTGATTTCGGGTTCGTGATTTCGGGTTCTGGGTTTTGGTGCTGATTTTGGGGTGTTGATTTCAGGGTGTTCATTTGGGGTGCTGATTCTGGGGTGCTGATTTTGGGGTTCTTACTTGGGGTGCTGATATTGAGATTTTGATTTTGGGATTCTGATTTTGGGATTTTGATTTTGGGTTCTGATTTTGGGGTTCTGATTTTGGGGTTCTGATTTTGGGGTTCTGATTTTGGGGTTCTGATTTTGGGATTCTGATTTTGGGATTTTGATTTTGGGATTCTGATTTTGGGATTTTGATTTTGGGTTCTGATTTTGGGGTTCTGATTTGGGTCTTGGTGCTGGTGCCAATTTTGGGGTGCTGCTTTTGGGTGCCAATTTTGGGTCCCAGCTTTGGGTGCTGGGTGCTAATTTTGGGTGTTAATTAATTTTGGGTGCTGATTTGGGGCTCTGGGTGCTGATCAGTTTTGGGTGCTGATTTTGGGGTGCTAATGAATTTCGGGTTCTGATGAATTTTGGGTTCTAATTTGGGGTTCTGAACACTAATTTTGGTATTTTGGGGTGCTTCTTCTTGGTGCTGGGCGCTAATTAATTTGGGTTGCTAATTCTGGGTGCTAATTAACTTCGGGTGCCGGTTTTGGGGTGCTGGGTGCTAATTAGGGGCGCTAATTAACTTTGGGGTGTTGATTTCGGGTGCCAATTAATTTCGGGTGCTAATTAGGGGTGCTAATGAACTAATTGAGGTGCTGATGAGCTAATTGGGGTGCTGATGAGCTAATTGGGGTGCTAATTAACCAATTGGGTGCTAATTAACCAATTGGGTGCTAATTAACCAATTGGGTGCTAATTACCGCATTCCGGTGGCGGGCGCTCCCCCTTCCCCTCCCCCCCCCCCTTTTTTGGGGGCCCAGCCCAGGAGGAGGGGCCGGAGGAGGCCACGCCCCTGCGCGGCTGCAGCCAATCAGAGCCCGAGCTGTGGGAAGGAGGCGGAGCCAGCGCCGAGGGTAACCGGCCCCTCCCCCCACCCCAAAAACCCCGAAAGGGCCCCAAAAAACCTGAAAGGGCCCCCAGAATCACAAAAGGGACACCAAAAACCCAAAACAGGCCACAAAAACCCAAAACGGGCCACCAAAAACCCAAAACGGGCCACCAGAATCACAAAAGGGACACCAAAAACCATTTGGGCCACCAAAAACCCAAAAAGTGCCACCAAAACCTCTTTGGGGGCACCAAATCCTCCCCTGGGGCCACCAAAAATCCTCTGGGCCTCCAAATGTCCCTTTGGGGACGCCAAATGTCCCTTTGGGGACGCCAGAATCTCCAGAAGGGCCATCAGAAACACCCTCGGGGGCCACCAGGAGCCCTTGTGGGGCCACCCCGTGTCCCCTGATGTCCCCTGATGTCCCCTGATGTCCCCTGTCCCTCCTGCAGGGAATTTCTTCTACCTGAGCCTCCCCACGGGACCCCCCCGGCCAGGAGGGGACACCGGGGACAGCAATGGGGACACCAGGGACACCCCTGGGGACACCAGGGACACCCCTGGGGACATCAGGGACACCCCTGGGGACACCCCTGGGGACACCAGGGACACGCAAGGGGACACGGAGCTGATCCTGGGGACCCTGGAGAAGCTGAGGGGGAAACTGCTGAGCCTCAGGGTGAGTGACAGCAATGGGGACACTGGGGACATTGGGGACAGCAATGGGGACAGCAATGGGGACACTGGGGACAGCAATGGGGACATTGGGGACAGCAATGGGGACAGCAGTGGGACATTGGGGACAGCAATGGGGACACTGGGGACATCATTGGGGACATCAATGGGAACTGCTGAGCCTCAGGGTGAGTGACAATGGGGACACTGGGGACATTGGGGACAGGGTGACATCACTGGGGACACGGATGGGAGGATGGGGACATTAAGGGGGTCCTGGAATGGGGACATGGGGGGACACTGGCGTGTCCCAGCTGTCCCCAGCTGTCCCTGTCCCCGCAGGCCATGGAAGCCGCTCACCAGCAGCTGCTGCGCTCCCTGCGGGGTGGCCATGCCAGCGTCCCCAACGTCCCCAGCAGCGTCCCCAGTGTCCCCAACACCATCCCCAGTGTCCCCAGCAGCGTCCCCGGGCGGGCCCCGCCGCCCGCCAGCCCCCAGCGCTCGCCGCAGGCCCCGCGGGGACACGGGGGACACGGGGGACACGGGGGACACGGGGGACACGGTGGCACTGCCACCCCCGGCGCAGGTGAGAGCCCCCAGGGGCACCTGCAATGTCCCCTCCCTGTGCCCTTGCCCACAGCACCGTGATTGCCCCATTCATTTCCCATTATTCCCCCATTATTTCCCATTATTCTCGTTATTCCCCCACTAATTTCCCTTTATCCCATTTTTTCCCATTTTCCCCATTATTTGCCCCATTAATTTTGCCATTATTTTCCCATTATTCCCCTGTTAATTTTCCCCATTATTCCCCCATTATTCCCCCATTATTTCCCCCATTAATTTCCCATTTCCCCCATTATTCCCCCCATTATTTCCCCCATTTATTTCCCTATTATTCCCCCATTAATTTCCCATTTCCCCCATTATTTCCCCCATTATTTCCCCCATTATTCCCCCATTCATTTCCCATTTTCCCCATTATTTCCCCCATTATTCCCCCATTATTTCCTCCATTCATTTCCCCCATTATTTCCCCCATTATTCCCCCCATTAATTTCCCATTTCCCCCATTATTTCCCCCATTATTTCCCCCATTTATTTCCCATTTCCCCCATTATTCCCCCATTATTTCCTCCATTATTCCCCCCATTAATTTCCCATTTCCCCCATTATTCCCCCATTATTTCCCCCATTATTTCCCCCTTCTCTTGCAGGCTCCGACGCCCCCGCCCACCTTTAACCCGGAGGGGGGGGACGGGCTGGAATTTCCCTCCCCTCCCCCAGACCCCCGGAAGATTTTCCAGGGAATTCCGGCCGGGAATTCCCCCCGGACGGCCGGACAGACGGACAAATGCACTTTGTTGGGAATTCCCCTTTTTCCCCCCAAAATCCCCTATAAATATGTACGTACTGCCCCCCCCCGCTGTAAATACCCCCGGGTGTCCCCCCCGTCCCCTCCCGGTGACAATCGGGGGTGACATGGTGACAATCGGGGGGTGGCACCCCCGCAGTCCCGGGATCCCCCCCCAAACCCAGGTTTGCCCCCAGAATCCCGGATTTGCCCCAAATCCCGGGTTTTGCCCCCAGATCCCGGGTCCAATATAAATATTATAAATACAGAGCCCGGGGGGCGCTGGAAGCTGGGAAGGATCCCCAGGTCTGGAGTCCTTTCTTGTGGGATTTGGGGTTTGTTTATGGGATTTGGGGTTTTTTTTTTAATGGGATTTGAGGTTTTTTTATGGGATTTGGGGTTCTTTTTATGGTATTTGGGGTTTTTTTAATGGGATTTGGGGGCTCTTTTTCTGTGGGGAATTGGGGGGATTTATGGGGAGTTTTTGGGAGGGGTCCCAAATCCTGGGGTGGGGATTTGGGATTGGGGGTGGGGAATTTGGGAATTTGAGGTTCGGGATTTTGGGGTCCTGGGAGGGGTTTGGGAATTTCGGGATCTGGATTCTCCCCAGGGATTTGGGAATTCCGGGATCCAGCCCCGCTGTGTCCCCAGGGGCTGCGATGTCCCCAAATGTCCCTGGAGGCGGAGGGGAATGTGACAACTGTCCTAAAGGGGTGTGACAGTGTCCTCAGGGTGTGTCACACTGTCCTCAGGGTGTGTCGCACTGTCCCCAGGGTGTGTCCCTGTCCCCAGAGTGTGTCACAGTGTCCCCAGGGGTGTCCCAGCCCGGCCGGTGACAATGCTCCGGTTTATTTACAAGCTGGCAGCGGGAGGTGGCACTGTCACCATCCCTGTCCCTGCAGCCCCAAACGGGGACAAGGAGGGGACACCAGGACACCTCCCCAAAGTCCCCGTGTCCCCTCGGGGTCCTGGCAGCGAGGAGCGGTGGTGACACCTGCTGGTGGCACATCCCGGTGTCACATCCCGGTGTCACATCCCAGTGGCACCTGTGGTGGCACCTCCGAGCTCAGTTCTGGTGGCACCTCCCGGGTCACATCCCGGGTGTCTTCAGTGTCACGTCCTGGGTGTCCCCAGTGTCCCCACTGCTGTCACAAGGTGCAGATCTCATCCTGGGTGTCCCCGATGTCCCATTCCAGTGTCCCATTCCAGTGTCCCCAGTGTCCCCAGAGCTGTCACAAGGTGAAGATCTCGTCCTCGCTGTCCCTGAGCGCGGCCGCCCGCGGGGTCCTGGTGAGGGGTCGGGGTCCCAGCCGGGCCCCCCGAGGGGACACGGGGCCAGGGCCGCCCCCGCCCGGCCCGGGGCTGTGGGGACACCGGGGACAGGCGGTGACACCCGGGACAGGCGGTGACACCCGGGACAGGCGGTGACACCCGGGACGGCCGGGCTGGCGCTGCCACCGCCCCGGCGCCACCACACCCCAGTGCTCCACAAGGCTCCCTCCCTTTTAGCTCCGTTTCACCCCAGTCTTCTCCCAAATTTTTCCCCAAAATTTTCCCCAGTTTTCTCCCAGTATCATCCCAAATTTCCCCCCAATTTTATCCTAATGTTCCCCCAGATTTTGCCCCCAATTTTCTCCCAGTTTCACCCCAATTTTCCCCTCAATTTTTTTCCACATTTTTTCCTGATTTTTCCCAGATTTTCCCCCCCAGTTTGCCCCGGATTTTTCCCAGATTTTCCCCCCAGTTTGCCCCATTTTTTTCCGGATTTTTCCCAGATTTCCCCCCCATTTTCCCCAGTTCCCACCTGGAGCTCGGGCCCTGCAGCCGCTGCGCCGCCGCCTCCTTGCAGCGCCCGATCTCGGCGTCCAAGCGCCGCAGGAAATCCGAGGCCGAGAGGTCGCGCCGGGAGGGGCCGGGGGTGTCCCCGGGGCTGTCCCCGGGGCTGTCCCCGCCGGTGTCCCCGGGAATGTCCCCGGGAATGTCCCCGCCGGTGTCCCCGGGGCTGTCGCGCTGTCCCGGGATGAGCAGCGTGGCTCTCAGGAAGATGCTGTCCGAGGAGTAGAGGCGGTTGGCGCGCTGGATCTGCTCCATCTGCGGGACGGGACCGGGATGGGACCGGGACGGGACCGGGACAGAACGGGGACAGGGATGGAACGGGAGCAGTACAGGGACAGGGATGGGGACAGGGATAAGGACACGGACCAGGATGGGCAGGCGAACCGAACCGGGCCAGGACGGGCCCTAGATGACACCTGGGGACCCCCAGGGCCTTCCCTGTCCCCGGTGTCCCCCCGGTGTCCCCCGGGGCCGCTCACCGTCACCCCGTAGCGCAGCGCCAGCCCCTGCAGGGTGTCCCCGGGCTGCAGGCGGTGCTCCCGCGGGGCCGCCCCGGCTCCGCCGCTCCCCGCCATGGCCCGCCCGGGGCTCCCGGCCCGGGGCTCCCGCCCGGGGCTCCCGGCCCGGCCCCGCCGCTCACGAGGAGCGCTCGGCCCCGGGCCCCGCCGAACCGGCGCGGCCTCGCGGCCCCTCCTGGGAGTTGTAGTTCCGCCCGGGCCGTCTCCGCGGCCATTCCCACGGAAGCTCCCCACGCTCGAACTACAGCTCCCATCAAGCCGCGGGGGTCGCGCTGAGCGCTCGCTGATTGGTGGTTCCCCCGCCGGCTGTCCTCTGGGAAGCGCTACCCGGAAGCGGCGGTGGCGGTTGCCATGGAGACCGCGGCCTAGCGGGGCCCGCCATGTCCTTTAAGCGCGACGAGAGCGACCCGGGGCCGCTCGGGGCGCTGCAGGTGGGGCCGGCACCCCCCGGGACCCCTCCCCGGGCACCCCTCGGGCACCCCTGGCACCGCCAGGCCCAGCCCCGGCCTCCCCCGCCACGCCCGGCCTCACCCCCGGGCCGCGGCCTGAGCCCCGCGGGTCCCCGAAGCCTTCCCTGGGTCTCCCCGAGGCCTTCTCTGGGTCCCCCTTTGTCCCCTCGATGTCCCCAACACTTCCCTCTGTCCCTTCGTGTCCCCTCTCCCTCCCCGGGGTGTCCCCAACCCTTTCCTAAACCCCCCGGGACCCCCAACCCTTCCCTGGGTCCCTTTGTGTCCCCTCAGTGTCCTCGAGTCCCCCAGGTCCCTCCCCGGCCCCACTTTGTCCCATCAGCCCTCCCCAGGCCTGTCCGGTTTGGGGACAGTTTGGGGATGGTTTGGGGACAGTTTGGGGCCGGTTTGGGGGCAGTTTGGGGATGATTTAGCTGGGGACAGTTTGGGGATGGTTTGGGGACAGTCTGGAGACAGTTTAGGGACAGTTTGGGGACAGTCTGGGGATGGTTTGGGGACAGTTTGGGGACGGTTTGGGTGGGGACAGTTTGGGCACATTTTGGGGATGGTTTGGGTGGGGACAGTTTGGGCACAGTTTGGGGATGGTTTGGGGACAGTGTGGGGACAGTGTGGTGCCGGGGGTGACGGTGGTGGCCCCGTGTCCCCAGAGGCGCCGCGTGGCTGAGCTGCTGGCCAGCGCCATCCCCGAGGACGAGGCGCTGCTGCTGCGCGATGGCAGGTGAGGCTCCCCCGCTGTCCCCGCTGTCCCCGCTGTCCCCAGTGTCCCTGAGTGTCCCCGCTGTCCCCAGGCTGGCGTGCTCGCTCTGTCCCCAGCGCCCCGTGTGTGACACTCTGCAGACGCTGCTGCTGCACCGCGCGGGCAGGAAGCACCTGGACAGTGAGTGGGGGTGGCCCTGTGTCACCTGGCCCCGTGTCACCTGGCCCTGTGTCACCCGTCCCTGTGTCACCGGGCCCTGTGTCACCCATCCCTATGTCACCTGTCCCCGTGTCACCTGTCCCCGTGTCACCCGTCCCTGTGTCACCTGGCCCTGTGTCACCTGCCCCTGTGTCACCTGTGCTGTCCCCTCACCCTGTCCCTGTCCCTGTCCCTGTCCCCTCACTGTCCCCTCACTGTCCCAGACCTGCTCCGTTCCTTCGGGCGGCCCCGCTGGCCCCAGGAGACCCCGCAGGGACCCCAGGTGACCCCGCAGGAGGCCCCGGGCGGGGCCCCAGGTGTGCAGGTGGGTGTGGCCGGGCTGGGCGTGGCCCCATGGCTGTGACAGGAAATGGGCGTGGTCTCGGTGGGTGTGTCCCTGGGAGGGCGTGGTCTCTGAAGGTTGGATCAATGTGGGTGTGTCCTGGGAGGGCGTGGTCCCAGTGGGTGGGGCTTGATGTGGGTGTGGTCCCTGTGGGTGTGGTCTATTTGGGTGTGTCCCTGGGAGGGTGTGGTCTCTGTGGGTGTGGTACAATGTGGGTGTGGTCTCCAAGGGGGTGTGGCCTATGTGGGTGTGTGGTTTCCATGGGGGCGTGGCCTCTGGGCATGTGCTAAGTGGGCACGGCCTGGTTGGATGTGATGTGTGTAGGCGTGTCTTGGTGGGCGTGGCCTCGGGCAGGTGTGGCTGTGATGGGCACGGCTCAGGTGGGCGTGGGCTTGGGTGCACGTGGCCTTATGTGGGTGTGGCCTTATATGGGCCTGGGCTCGGGTGGGCGTGGCTCAGTGGGCGTGGCTCAGTGGGCGTGGCTCAGTGGGCGTGTCCAGCAGGCCCCACTGCTGGCCCGGACGCGTCGCCTGGCCCGGAGCGCCCTGCTGAGAACAGCCCCGTACAACAGCTGCTGCAGGAGAGACAGGTGAGGGAAATGGGGGAAAAACAGGGGAAAACGGGCAAAAACGGGGGGAAATGCTGAGAACAGCCCTGTACAACAGCTGCTGCAGGAGAGACAGGTGAGGGAAATGGGGGAAAAACGGGGGGAAAGGGGCAAAAACGGGGGGAAATGCTGAGAACAGCCCCATACAACAGCTGCTGCAGGAGAGACAGGTGAGGGAAATGGGGCAAAAACAGGGGAAAACAGGCAAAAACGGGGAAATGCTGAGAACAGCCTTGTACAACAGCTGCTGCAGGAGAGACAGGTGAGGGAAATGGGGCAAAAACAGGGGAAAACGGGGGGAAATGCTGAGAACAGCCTTGTACAACAGCTGCTGCAGGAGAGACAGGTGAGGAACCAGGAAAATGGGGAAATTGGGGGAAGAAAACAGGAGCAGATGGGAAAGGAACTCAGGGATACCAGGAAAAATCAGGAGCAAACAGGAAAGGCTGGGAAGGGCCCCAGGGACACCGGGGAAAGTTCTGGGGTTCCCAGGGAAGGGAAGGTTCTGGGGTTCACCCCCTCTCCCTTCCCCCTGCCAGGTCCAAGGGCAGCAGCTCCCGGGCCGGGATCCCCGGGATGATCCCAAAAAATTCCCAGACGCCGCCAGAGCCGTCCTGGAACCCCGGGAATGCCGGGAATCCCAGGAATGCCGGGAATGCCGAGACCCCCGGCCCCGCACACCCCGCACACCGAGAGGGTGAGTGAGGCCCCGCCCGCCCGTTCCCGGGGATTTCCCGGGAATTCCCCATTCCCGGGATTCCCAGCAGCCCCTCCCGCGCTCCCCCAGGCGCCCCCAAGGACGGGAAGCGGGCAAGGAAAGGAAATTCCCGGAGTTCCGAGGAAGGAAATTCCCAATGTCCCGAGGGGCCAAGCCCGGAGCGGCTGCGGATCCTGCGGCACCACCTGCACCTGCGCAGGTGAGTCGGGAGGGGGGAGTTTGGGGAAAAATCCCAAAACATCCCCCCCAAAAACTCCCCCAAAATATCCAGAAAAATTTCCGAAATTCCCCAAAGTCCCAGAGAATCCCCCAACCCCATTTCCTGTGTCCCAGCCGGGGCTGGCTCCAGGATCCCGCTGGGAATTGGGTGAAGGACGGGAACGCCGAGTTCGACTCCGACGAGGAGGAGCCGCCACCGCTGCCACCAGCCTGACGTCCCCAAGTGCCCCCAAGCGTCCCCAAGTGTCCCCAAGCGTCCCCAGAGTCCCGGGAATAAAGTGGGAATTTTTTGGGACATTTTTCCACCATTTTTCCGCTTTATTCCCAGCGGTTCCTGAGCTCGGGGTGGGCATGGGAGGATTTTTAGGATTTCTTCTGTTGGCGACCTGGGGGGAGAGAAAAGGGGGGGTCAGGGTAAAGTCCCAGCCCTGGTGACACCTGGGGACATTCAGGAGCTCCCTCCAAGGTGGGCTCAGCTCTGGGACCCTCAGGTGATATCTGGGGACACTCACGGAGCTCTGGCACCCCCGGGTGACACCTGGGGACACTCACGGAGCTCTGGGAGCCCCGGGTGACACCTGGGGACCCTGGGGACACTCACGGAGCTCTGGGAGCCCCGGGTGACAGCTGGGGACCCTGGGGACACTCACAGAGCTCTGGGAGCCCCGGGTGACAGCTGGGGACCCTGGGGACACTCACGGAGCTCGTTGTTGCGGGTGAGGGCGGCGGCGGCGCGCGCCCGCGGGCCCTGCAGGGTGAAGGTGTAGCCGAACCTCAGCAGGGAGGGACACTGCTCCAGGGTGGCTGCCATGGCCATCTCCACCGTGTCCCCCAGGCGCTGGCACTGCGGGGACATCATTGGGGACATCATTGGGGACAGGGTCAGTGTCACTGTCACAGCCCCATCTCCACCGTGTCCCCCAGGCGCTGGCACTGCAGGGTTGGAGACAGTCAGGGCATTGTCACCTCCCCTGCTGTCCCTGCTGTCCCCGCTGTCCCTGTCCCTGTCATTGTCCCCACTGTCCCTGTCCCCACTGTCCCTGTCCCCGCTGTCCCTGTCCCCGCTGTCCCTGTCCCTGTCCCTGCTGTCCCTGCTGTCCCCGCTGTCACCTGGTTGTCCAGGCGGATCTCGCTCAGCGAGGGGCAGCGCCCGATGGCCGCCAGCAGCCGCAGCATCCCCGCGCTGGTGATGAAGTTGGACTCGAGGTTGAGGCTCTGCAGGCTCTGGTTCTGCTCCAGCATCTCGGCCACCGCCTGGGGACACCCCGGTGGCACCACAGTGGCACCAAGGTGGCACCATGGGGACACCGTCCTTGGTGTCCCCGGGATGGGTGGACAGGCACGGGGGGACCCGTGCAGGGACATCTGGGGACACGTGGGGACACTTGGGGACTCACGTTGGCCACCAGGTCGTTGCTGCGCGTGGCCACCAGGCTGAGGCTGCGCACGTGGGTGTTGGTCTTGATGGCCTGGCAGATGGCCTCGAGCGTGGGGACAGGGATGTCCTGGGGACAGCCGGGGACACTTGGGGTCACCACAGGGCTGGGGATGTCCCCCAGGACACGGGGTCACCCAGGGGCCGGGGTGGCACCTTGGGGATCCCCCCTTCACCCACCCAGGGACACATTGGGGACACATTGGGGACATGGGGACACATTGGGGACACGTTGGGGGCGGTGTCAGCGCGGTGTCACCTTGATGTTGTTGAGGTTGACCTCGTGCAGCTCGGGGTCGTTGTCCTGCAGCCGCTGCAGCGTCTCGGCCACGTCCGTGGGGTTCGGGGGCTCGTCCGGCACCGGGCGGTACCGGTCCGGCTGCACCACGCCTGGGACAGCGAGGGGACAGCGTGGGGACAGCGAGGGGACAGTGTGGGGACGTGGGGACAGCGTGGGGACAGCGTGGGGACAGCATGGGGACAGCGAGGGGACAGTGTGGGGATAGCGTGGGGATGGGACTCAGGGACACACGAGTTTGGTCCCCAAATACTGCCCCAACCACCCCATAGAGGCACTTGTCCCCTGTCCCCCGTGTCACTCACTGTTGATGTCCTGTCCCCATGTCCCCATGTCCCCATGTCCCCCTTTGTCACTCACTGTTGATGCCCTGTCCCTGTCCCCCGTGTCACTCACTGTTGATGCCCTGTCCCCATGTCCCCTGTCCCCGGTGTCACTCACTGTTAATGCCCTGTCCCCATGTCCCCATGTCCCTGTCTCCTTTGTCACTCACTGTTGATGCCCTGTCCCCATGTCCCCTGTCCCCTGTGTCACTCACTGTTGATGCCCTGTCCCCATGTCCCTGTCCCCTGTGTCACTCACTGTTGATGCCCTGTCCCCATGTCCCCCGTGTCACTCACTGTTGATGCCCTGTCCCCATGTCCCCTGTCCCCTGTGTCACTCACTGTTGATGCCCTGTCCCCATGTCCCTGTCCCCCGTGTCACTCACTGTTGATGCCCTGTCCCCATGTCCCCATGTCCCCATGTCCCCTTTGTCACTCACTGTTGATGCCCTCGGTGTTGCAGATGTTCCCGCTGCAGATGGCGTCGTAGTACTGCTTGTTGCTCATCAGCGTGTACATGCCCAGGATGGCTGCGGGGACACACGGTGACACTGGGGACATTGGGGTCACAGGGGGACACAGGGCCCCCGTGTCCCCCCGGGGAGGTGGCACCGGGAGCCAAAGGTGGGGTCGGAGCTGCTTTAACTGAGGGGACACAGAGGGTGAGGGGGGACATGGGTGACATTGTGGGACAAAGCGTGTGACACTGGGGTGTGTGTGACACTGGGGTGTGTGTGACACAGACACAGGGGTGACAGGGATGTCTGTGACACTCAGGTGTGTGACAGTGACACAAGGACAGGTGTGCCATGCTGGCCTCGTGCTCGGTGTCCCTCGCCAGGTGACACTGACACCGTGTGACACTCAGGTGTGTGCAGTGACACGTGTGACACTCAGGTGTGTGCAGTGACACCGGGACACGTGTGACACTCAGGTGTGTGCAGTGACACTGTGACACGTGTGGCACAGCCCTTGGGGACAGCGTTACCCTCGGCCGAGGCCCTTCCTGGTGCTGCTCCCGGCCCCGTGGGGATCCCGGCCTGTGCAGAGCCCATCCCATGGAAATCCCACAGAAATCCCATGGAAATCCCACAGAAATCCCATGGAAATCCCACAGAAATCCATGGAAATCCCATCCCATCCCCGTCCTTTACAAATCCCACCCCCATTCCAACCCCATCCATGTCCCCATTCTCATTCCCATTCCCATTCCTGATCCCATTCCCATCCCAATCCCAATCCCGCTGTCCCCTCTGCTGTCCCCACGCACCGGCGATGTCGCACATCTCTGCCACATTCCCGATCCCATTCCCATTCCCAATCCCGCTGTCCCCTCTGTCCCCTCTGCTGTCCCCTGTGTCCCCACGCACCGGCGATGTCGCACATCTCGGCGTCGGTGGCGTTGGCCAGCGCCTCCTCCAGCTCCGGCTCCAGCGTCACCTGCTCCTCCCGCGGCAGCGCCGGCGCCGCCGCCTTGGGGACAAACGGCTTCCCTGGGGACAGGGGGACACCGGGCATGGGGACATGGGGACAGTCACCTTCCCTGGGGACAGGGACATGGGGACAAACGGCTTCCCTGGGGACATTGACAGGGACATGGGGACATGGGGACAAACGGCTTCCCTGGGGACATTGACAGGGACATGGGGACATGGGGACAAACGGCTCCCCTGGGGACAGGGGGACACCAGGCATGGGGACATGGGGACAAACGGCTTCCCTGGGGACAGGGGGACACCGGGCATGGGGACATGGGGACAAACGGCCTCCCTGGGGACATTGACAGGGACATGGGGACATGGGGACAGTCGGCTTCCCTGGGGACAGGGGCACGGGACAAGCGGCTTCAGGTGGCATCGTGGGGGTGGCCTCGTTGAGGCTGGCACTGCTGTCACAGGGTTGTGACCATCCCGGGGCTGGCACTGCTGTCCCTGGGGGTGACACTGCCAGGGCTGGTGGCCGTGCCCGGGGCTGGCGGGGGCCCAGCTCGCCCAGGACACCTGAGCCGCTGGCGAGGCCGAGCTAAATATAAAATACACCCGAGCCTGGGGGCCCGGGCCCCTCCGTGTCCCCTCCGTGTCCCCAGGCTGTCCCCCCACTGTCCCCAGGCTGTCCCTCCACTGTCCCCAGGCTGTCCCCAGACCTTTTTTCTCGCCGGTGAAGGGCACGAGGTCCTGGCGCTCTTCGGCCTCCAGCGCCTGCCGCTCCAGGTGCTGCAGGAGCGCGTCCCGGTCCAGGGGGCCCGTGGGGCTCTTGTGGGTCTGATCGCGCTGGCGCAGCCCCGCGGGCAGCAGCACGTTCTGGGGACAGCGCCCGTGTCACTGCTGCCTGTGTCACTGCTACCCGTGTGGCACCGCCGCCCGTGTCACTGCTACCCGTGTGGCACCGCCCGTGTGGCACCGCCCGTGTGTCACTGCCCGTGTCGCCACCCATGCCACCACCCGTGTCACCGCCCGTCCCCCGCGCCCACCTCGGGGTCCATCTCGGCCAGCTCGGCGTCCAGCTGCGCCAGCTCCTCCGGGGACAGCTCCTGCAGGATCTTGTCCTCGTCGATGTCGCGGTACTTCTCCAGCTCCTGCCGGTACGGCGTCATGGCCGCGGGGACCTGGGGACACGGGGGGACAGCGGGGTGGCACCGCTGGGCACAGCCGGGGGGACACGGGGGGACAGCGGGGTGGCACCGCTGGGCACAGCCGGGGGGACACGGGGGGACCCCTTCGTGCCAGCACTGGCGGGCTCTGGGGGCACGGGGGGACACGGCGGGACCTGCCCGTGCCACCCTCCGCGGGGACAGCGCTGGGGGACACCGAGCACGCCCCAGGAGCTGTCGCCAGCCTTTGTCACCTGCCGGGGTCACGTCCCGGTCGCTGTCACGAGCCGCGAGTCCCCGAATGTCGCGCGGGCCCCACGGGCGCCGCTCGCGCTGTCCCCGCCGGGGGTGGGGACGCACCTGCCCCGCCCCGCCCCCCTCGCAGCGTGGGAATCTTTGGGAAGCGGCTCCGGGATCCCCAAATTCCGGGGCGGGAGGGGGAGGGGGCGGCGACACCGCGGGGACAGCGCGGGGACAGCGCGGGGACAGCGCGGGGACAGCGCGGGGACAGCGGGGCCGTACCTGGGGCCGGTCCTAAAGCCCGGGGGGCGATCCCAAAGCGGATCCTGAAGCCGCTCCCAAAAGCCGGGGCCGATCCCGGAGCTCTGGGGCCGCGCGGGGCATGAGATCAGCGCTTTATTCGGGCCGGGAGGGGCGGATCCGCGTCCCGGCCCTTATCGGGAACGGAGGGGCCCCGCCCCGGCCCGCGGGGCCCGCCGACCCCAAAACCCGCCGGGGGCAGAGGCAGAGCGGATCCTCCCCCGATCCTATAAACCCGCAAAGCTCCGGCCCCAAAACCCGCCGGGGGCAGAGGCAGAGCGGATCCTTCCCCGATCCTATAAACCCGCAAAGCTCCGGCCCCAAAAACCGCCAGGAGCAAAGGGGGACACGGGGAAAGGTGAGGGGGGCAGGATCCTTCCCAAATCCCATAAACCCCACAAAGATCGAGGCAGGCTTGGCCCTACAAGCCTCGAATTCGGGGGGTGAAGGGGGTCTGGACACCCCCAAATGGGGTCTGGGGGAGATGGGAATGTTCTGTAGGTTCTTCTGGAAAAAGGAATCCCATAAACTTTATTTTAGGCTTTTCTGGAGAAGGGAATCCCATGTTATTGTAGGGAAATAATGGGTTCATGAACCTTGTTTGTTGGAGGATTTCTTGGAAAAATGGCTCCCACCCCATATTTTTTGTAGGATTTCTGGAAAAGGGTTCTGCAAACCTCTTTATTAATTGTAGGATTTCCTGCGAAAAGGGGCTCCCACCACCCCACACAAACCAACCCCCAAATCCACTTTATTCCCTCCTCCAACACCCCTGGTGAACAATGACCCCAGAAAAACCATCACTCAAATGGGTGACCCCATATCCCCAAACCCCAACAGCCCAGCACCCCAAAATCCCGGGATTTCAGGCACTGCCAACACTTGGAAAGGAGCCCCTCAACAAAGCCATGGCAGCTGCCAGTCCCAACACCCCAGCACCCCAAACCCTCAATCTGAGGGGTCAGGCACTGGGGACGCCCTGTTTGATGATGATTTTCTGCAGTTTCAGGGAGAACATTCAAGCCCCATCAAACCCCATCTCTCAGGCACTGGGCACGCTCTGTTTGATGATGATTTTCTGCAGTTTTAGGGAGAACATTCCCAAACCCCATCAAACCCCATCTCTCAGGCACTGGGCACGCTCTGTTTGATGACAATTTTCTGCAGTTTTAGGAACGTTCCCAAACCCCATCAAACCCCATCTCTCAGGCACTGGGAACGCTCTGTTTGATGACGATTTTCTGCAGTTTTAGGAACATTCCCAAACCCCCTCTCCCGTCTCTCAGGCACTGGGCACGCTCTATTTGATGACGATTTTCTGCAGCTTTAGGAACGTTCCCAAACCCCATCAAACCCCATCTCTCAGGCACTGGGCACGCTCTGTTTGATGACGATTTTCTGCAGCTTTAGGAACGTTCCCAAACCCCCTCTCCCGTCTCTCAGGCACTGGGCACGCTCTGTTTGATGACGATTTTCTGCTGTTTTAGGAACATTCCCAAATCCCAAACCCCATCTCTCAGGCACTGGGCACGCTCTGTTTGATGATGATTTTCTGCCGTTTTAGGAACATTCCCAAACCCCAAACCCCATCTCTCAGGCACTGGGCACGCTCTGTTTGATGACGATTTTCTGCTGTTTTAGGAACGTTCCCAAATCCCAAACCCCATCTCTCAGGCACTGGGCACGCTCTATTTGATGACGATTTTCTGCAGTTTTAGGAACGTTCCCAAACCCCATCAAACCCCATCTCTCAGGCACTGGGCACGCTCTGTTTGATGACGATTTTCTGCCGGCCGGGCCGTGCCCCGGTGCCGTCCCCGGCCCCTGCGGTGCCCGCGGTGGCGGCGGCGGCGGCGGCGGCGGCGCTGGGCAGCCCGTGCGCCGTCACGTACTTGCGGTAGGCCTCGCGGATGATGCGGAAGGCGCGGGCGTTGGCGTAGGGGATGTCGGTGATGGGGTCGCGGTACAGGGCGGGCTTGTGCGTCACCGGGCACAGCTCCCGCACCGGCAGCCGCGGCGCCCGCGCCCGGGGGAAGCAGCGCTCGAAGGTGGCGTCGTCGCTGAAGGAGATGAACGTGCGCGAGCACTTGCCCGGCGACGGCGGCCGCGCCTCGGGGTCCAGCCTGGAACGGCAGCGGGGACGGGGCTGGGCAGGGCAGCCAAAACCGGGGGCGCTAAAGGGGCTTGAGAGGTGCAGCTCCGGTGGGGAACTCGGGGTGGCCAAAAAGGGGGATTCCAAAGGGGTCTGGGGCAGCTCCAACGGGGGATTTGGGATGGCCAGGATGGTGCCCAAAAACTGCGACCTCAAAGGGATCCGGGGCCTCAAAAGGTGCAGCTCCAACGGGGGATTTGGGATGGCCAGGATGGTGCCCAAAAACTGCGACCTCAAAGGGATCCGGGGCCTCAAAAGATGCAGCTCCAATGGGGGATTTAGGGTTTGTGGTGGTGCCCAAAAACTGCGAATCCCATGGGATTTGGGGCCTCAAAAACTGCGACTCCAAAGCGGGATTTGGGATTGCCAAGGTGGAGCTCAAAACCTGCTCTTCCCATAGGATTACAGGGTCCCAAAACCTGCTCTTCCCATGGGATTACAGGGTCCCAAAACCTGCTCTTCCCATGGGATTACAGGGTCCCAAAACCTGCGTTTCCCATGGGATTACAGGGTCCCAAAACCTGCGTTTCCCATGGGATTACAGGGTCCCAAAACCTGCTTTTCACATAGGATTACAGGGTCCCAAAACCTGCTTTTCCCATGGCATGAGGGGGTTCCAAGGTGAGAGCCCCAGGTCGGGATTCAGTGCCCAAATCCACCCCCCAGAGCCGGAGTTTGGGATCTGGGAGCTCTGAGGGGCTGCCCAGCCCCTGTGGGGCAGCTCCAGGCTGGGATTTGGGGTTCGGGGGGCACTCACCCCTCGACGTCCACGGGGTCATCACGGCCGGGCTCGGGCAGGAGGGGCATGGTCAGGGACCAGTACCGGATCACGGGGCCCACGATCTTCCTCTTCTTCTGCACCTGCTTCTTCTTGTCCGCCTCCAGCCGCTCGTAGTTCTCTGGGGGCAGGAATGGGATCAGGAATGGGGGCAGGAACAGCTCAGCCTGGCCCGGGTACCTTACAGCGCTGCCAGGTCTGGTCCTGGGATCCCTGTGCCATTCCCAGTGTCCCAGCCCCATTCCGGGTATCCCAATCCCATCCCCTCACCCAGGGAGCGCAGGTTGATCTCCTCAGTGTCCCATTCCCATTCCCAGTGTCCCATTCCCAGTGTCCCATTCCCATTCCCATTCCCAGTGTCTCATTCCCATTCCCAGTACCCCATTCCCATTCCCAGTGCCCCATCCCCATTCCCAGTGTCCCATTCCCATTCTCCCATTCCCATTCCCAGTGTCCCATTCCCATTGTCCCATCCCCATTCCCAGTGCCCATCCCCTCACCCAGGGAGCGCAGGTTGATCTCCTCGGTGATCTTGGCCTCCTCCAGCAGCTCCTCCTGGGTCAGGGGCCGCTCGTAGCTCGTCCCTCCCTTCTTCCTCTTGGACTGCACCTGGCGCTCCTGGAGCCGCAGGAACGTCTGCCGGGTGTGCTCCGTGGTGGACTGGCGCATGTGCTTCCTGCCTGGAGAGACAGGGATCAGCCACAGATCCATGGATCACCCAGAGATCCCCGGGATCCCTCCCCAACCCCTGGGGAACCAGGAGCTCCCCCAGAGGATGCCATTTCCAGCTGGGATCACCAAGACCCTGCTCCCATCCCACCCCATTCCCCCCTCACTCACTGTCTCCCCCGTCCTCCTGCAGCTCCAGGGGCGTGGATTTCACCTCCCGGCTCCTCTGGGAGCCTCCCCGCGGCCCCTCGGCCTTCTTGGCCCGCAGGCTCTTGAGCGGCTCCTGCAGGGGGAGGGAGGACAGAAACCAGCCGGGGATGAGGGCCCGGGAGCGCCGGGATCTCCGTGGAGAAACCCGGGAAGGGCTCGGTACCCCCGGAACAGCTCAGAGTCCCCGGGAAGGGCTCGGGATTGGGGGAATTTCCCCGGGAAGGCCCCGGGAAGGGCTCGGTACCCGGTAGGCCTTGGTGAGCACGCGGCGGCGCCGCCGGGGCTCGGCCTCGTCCTGCTCCGAGCCCGGCTCGTCGCCCTCGTCGATGTCGAAGTCGGAGTCCACCTCGTCATCGCTGTCAGAGTGGTCCCCGCGGTACTCGTCATCGCCGGACTCCTGCGGTAAACATCGGGAACGTTGGGAATGCCGAGAATGTGGGATGGGGAATAGCGCGAATATGGGAATGTTGGGAATGTTGGGAATATGGGAACAGGGGATTGGGAACCGTGGAATCACCCGCAGGAATACCCGCAGTGCTCATTGTGCCCAAACTCCGGTGGGACACGGGGATGGATCTCCCTGGATCCCCGGGAACCCGTTATCCCCGGATTTATCCCGGAATCCCCCGTTATCCCGGGATTTATCCCGGAATCCCCCGTTATCCCGGGATCCCACAGAGATGGAGCACCCCGAGGTCCCCAAACGCTCCTCCCGGGACATCCCCCATCCCCCGGACATCCCCGTTCCCCGCACACCCCCCGGCCCCCCTCACGCCCCGCTCCCCTCACGCTTCCCGCCTCCCGCCGCCCCGCTCCGAGCGCCGGGCCCGCTCCCGCCGCGCCTCCCGCCGTGCCCGCCGCGCCCCCCGGCGCTGCGCTCGCCTCGTTGAAGCCGCCGTAGGTGGTCTGGTAGAACTCGTCCTCCTCCTCGGCCTGCAGCAGCCCCGAGAGGCGATTCCCGGCCGTGCGCCGCGGGGCGCGGCCCTCCGCCAGGCTCATCTCGGCGCTCGGCCGGCCCGCCTGCCGGGACCGCGCGGGGCGACACAGCGAGCGCCGAGCGATCGATGGGCGGGGGCAGAGACAGCGACACCGCGGGGGGACGGCGGGAACTGCGGGTGACGACATTGTGCTCAAGATGACGTCATTGTGCTCCGGGTGACGTCATTAGGGATTGGGGGGATTTTTGGATTTTTTGTTCGGGTGAAATAACCGTGATTTTGGGAAAAAAAATTTGGGGGTTTCTGCAGGGAAAAAAGGGGATTTTAGGCGAAAAATGGGGATTTTTAGGGGACTTTCTGGGGGTTTTTGGGGGTTTTTGGGGAGGTTCCCAGTGTGTGGGGTGACGTCATGGGGTTGGTGTGAGGAGTTGTGCGTGCTCTCTGACGTCACGGGGCGGGTGTGTGAGCTGTGATGTCATGTGTCAGAGTGTGGGCACTCTATGACGTCATGGGGTGTCAGGGATGCACAGGGGCTCTGTGACATCACAAGGTTGTCAGGGCAGGGTTGTGGCTCTGTGACGTCATAGGGCAGAGGCATCGATGCAGAAGTCAGCAGTGTGACATCACAGGATGGCGATGAGTGCGTGTGCTCTGTGACGTAACCGGATAAGGACATGTGTGCTCCCATGACGTCACTGATTTGGGGTGTGGTGCATAACGGTGACGTCATTTAATGGTGTGCTTAATCTGCTAGTGTAACGTCACTCTGCCCCACCCTCCGCCCGTCACGTGACACCGCGGGGCCCAATCCGAGCGGGGGGAGGCGGAGCCGGTGCCGGAGCCGCGCATGCGCTGCGCGGGCCCGCCCGCGTGGCCCCCGCTGCCCCCATCGCCCGCGGCCGCGTGGGGCGCGCCGGGAGGGGCGGGGCTGAGCGCTGAAAGGGCGTGGTTTAGCACAGAATGGGGCGCGGCCACGCGCGATTGGTGGGGCTGAGCATGGAGGGGGCGGGGTGGAATCGGAAGAGGCGCGGCTTAGCCGTGAGGGGGTGGAGCCGTGCATGAAAGAGGCGGGGTTGAAACGCGGGTGGGCGTGTCTTTGCCCCCGTGAGCAATGCCAATATGCGGAGAGGGCGCCGTTTATTCCCAAAGGGGCGTGGTTGTGTGGGCGGGGGCGTGGCCGGGCGTGGCGGGCGGGGGCGGGCTGGGGGGGGGGGGCGCAGCGCGCGCTCCAAGATGGCGGCGGCGGCGGCGGGGCCCGAGTCCGGCGGCAGCAGCGGCAGCAGCGGCGGCCTCGGCGGTACCGGCCGGGAGCGGGCCCGGGAGCGGCGCCGCGGGGCTCGGGCGGGGCCCGGGGGGCGCGGCCGGGGGCGCTGGGGGCGTGAGGGGCTGAGGCGGCTCTGGGGGCGTGAGGGGAATGGGGCGATCTTGGCGGAACTGGGGGGCTATGAGGGGGATTATGGGGTTTATGAGGGGGATTTGGGGGTTATGAGGTGTATTTGGGGGGTTATGGGGTGTATTTGGGGGGGTTATGAGGGGGATCTGGGGGTTATGAGGGGTCTGGGGGCGTGAAGGGTGAGGGGGCAGCGTGAGGGTGAGGGGGCTCTGGGGGCGTGAGGGGAATGGGGGGATCTGGGGGGTTACGACGGGAATTTAGGGGCTGTGAGGGGGATTTGGGGGTTATGAGGGGGGTTATGGGGGTTATGAGAAAGATTATGGGGGTTAGGGGGAATTTAGGGGGCTGTGAGGGGGATTTGGGGGGTTATGAGAGAGATTATGGGGGGTTGTGAGAAAGATTATGGGGGTTAGGGGGATTTGGGCGTTATAAGGGGGATTTTGGGGGGTTACGAGAAGGATTATGGGGGGTTATGAGGGGAATTTGGGGGTTATGAGGAGGATTTTGGGGGGTTTTGAGAGGACTTGCGGGGGCTCTGAGGGGTCTCAGGGGTGCGGGTTTTTTGTGGGGTCTTTGGGGGGTTTTGGATGAGTTTAGGGCTGGGAGACTCAGGGGGTTTGGGGGACTCTTTTTGGGGTGTAGAAGTTTGGGGATCATGGGGATTTTTGGGGTCTTTAGGGTTTTTTTGGGGAGTGTAGAACTCTGGGGCTGAGTGGGATTTTTGGGGTCTTTATGGGGTTATTTTGGGGGGGGTGTGGGGGACTCTTTTGGGGAGGGGATTTGGAGCTTTTGGGGGGAATTTTGGGGCATTCGGAGCTTCCTGAGGGAATTTTGGGGCATTCGGAGCTTCCTGGGGGTGTCTGAGGTGCCATGGGGGGAGTCCAGACCCAACTTTTCCCTGGAAAAACCAAATTCCGAGTTTCCCTTTCTCTACAGAACACCTGGGAATGGACGGGGGTGGGGTCTGAGAGGCCCAGGATTCCCAAAAATAAAAAATAAAACATAAAAGCTGGGGAGCGGGGCGGGGAGGGAACAGTTTGTCGGTGCCAGGGAAATCCGATTCCCGTTCCCGTCCGGTGACTCACAGGGGGTGGGAACGGCTCGCGGGGATCCCAAAACCCCAGAAAATCCCAAAAGGAGCTGGGATCGGCTCGCGGGGATCCCAAAACCCCAGAAAAATCCCAAAAAGAGGCGGGGATGGGGCAGCAGAGCCTCCCCAAACCCCAGAAAAATCCCAAAAAGAGCTGGGATCGGGCAGCAAAGCCTCCCAAAATCCCAAAAAGTGCCCGGTTTGGGGCTCTGAACACCGGGATTTTTCCTTTTCCTGGTTTTCCCTTTACCTGGCAGAGTTGCTGGGAGAATCCAGCCCTTCATCCCGGTTTTTCTCGGCTCCCAGTCACATTTTCACATTAAATTTTGGGCTGAAGTCTATTAAATTCCATCTGGGGAGGATTTTTTTGCTCCTTGCTTTTCCCTGGACGGATTTAAGGCCTGATCCCCGATTTTCTGACTCTTTATCCGTGGGGTTTTTTTGGGAATTTGGGGCCAGAAGCCCCGGGAGAGCAGCGTGTGTGGGTGGGATAATTCGGGTTTGTGTTGTGTAGGATTTCTCTCTGGTTTTGTGGGATTTTTCCCCTGTTTTCCTGGTATTTTTCTGTGGTTTTACTCTGCTCTGTGGAATTGATCCCCTCTGAGTGTGGATTTTCCTTTCTCTTGGCAGGATCCAACACCTTCAAGAAGTCCCTGACTCCTGAGGTGAGTTCCAGGCTGGAAAAATCCCAAATTTCAGCTGTTCCTGCTCCTTTTCCAAGCCTGCCTTGACCCTGGGCAGCTCCTCCCGTGGGGATTTTGGGAATTTCTCCTTCCCAAGGGAATTCCTGCTCCAAAACCCGAATCTATCCCGGAACCACCCCCAGAATCCCTGGAAAAATCCAATTTAACAGCTCCTGGGTGAACCCTTGGCTCCCTGGGCCAGGAATCCCTGGATTGGGATTTGCAGCTTTCCCAAAATTCCTCCTCAAACGTCGCAGTTACTGTGGGAAAAGCCCAGCCCAGCTTTGTTTGCATTCCAGGAGTGAACCCCAAACTTTTCCAGGTGGTTTTGGGTGGGAAAAAAATCCTTTAAAAATTTGAATTTTCCAATCTTTTTTTTCTCTCTTTCCATTTTTTTCTTTTTCCAAGATGCCGGGAGGATCCCAGACCATCCGGAAAGGCCACAGAGGAGTGGATTCCACAGGGGAAACCACCTACAAAAAGGTGAATTCCCCCTCTTTTCCCTTCTCCCAAGGAGTTTTGCCCTGTGGGATCACTGTGGGGATGGGAGGAGATTCCGTAGAAATGAAGGAAAAAGGGAATTTTCTGGGCTTTTCCCCCATTTTAATTCTCATCCAATGCCCCCCCCCAGTGAATTTCTATTCCCATTGAATTCCTTTCATTCCCACTGGATCCTTGCAATTTCT